ACACCCCTGGAATGGGGCAGAGCACTTTGTATAGAGCCAGACCAAAACTTCTCTGTAGCTTAAATATAAATTAAGGGCTGTGGGCAGGAATAAATGGATAAGGTTTTCAGCAACCCCTATTTATACTGTCACGTACAACTTCTAAGCCTTCACAGCTGTTGAAAAATTGGGAATGGCAATCCAGGACTGTGGCCACTGAGAATGGGAGTTATTTGATACCAGATGGTTACTGGAAATTATTGATTGAAAAAGCACCAGCTTTTTAGGAAATGCCATAAAAATAGACATTTTTAGGTGGATGGCAATGACATCTGTAGATCTCTGCAAATAAGCTCTGTGATAGCTCTGTAGGAGTGTTCCAATAGAAGAATACAAAGATATTTAGATACTCTAAATTTCAGTTTATGCTGGGTGGTGCATTTATAGTGCATAATACTATTCTTTCTTTGGCTTTTTTTTAATCACTTAAGAGAAGGTGCTCTCTATATTGTACAGAGGCTGGAACAGCAGCAGGAAAATGTGACTTTGAAATAATGGGATCTGTAAGAATAGGCAATTTCATTCAAGTATAGTGATTTAGTGCCCTGTTAGTCTCCTGATGTATAACTCCATTTCCAAAGACTTTAAGTTTCTTCACGAGCATAATGACAGGCTTAAAACTTGAGACTAATGCCACAGCTTCCTCTCTCCTCAGCTCTTCCCCATTATTGCAGGAGTAAGGGAATTTTATTCTCTCCTAACAGATTAGTTCCAAGAAGAATAAATCAGATAATATTATTGCCTTCTTGTTTCCTTCCCTCCTTCTCTAAAACTTGGGATAGCCCACATGGCGCAGTGCAAAGCCAGGGCTGGGTATTGCTTTTTCTCCCTGAAGTCTGTGATACAGATGTGATCCCACTTCCAGTGTCACCAGGACAACTTTTTAAAGTGCTCTGGTTCAGTTGTTTGTGGCTTTTGGTACTAATTTCAGCTTCTGTGTTTGCTCTGCTCACAGACGATGGCCCTTACTCGAAGGGGAGCAAGGACTCTGGTGGGATGGACGCAGCCCTGGTCTCCAGGAGGCAAAGCATCCCAGGTAAAGGAGGGGATCAGCTACTGCCCCAAAACATTGTGACATCCATTACACTTTACCTGGATACCCCTAAAATGGGTAAACTCCTCCAAACACTAATTTTGGCACATCTATCAGCAAGGCTTTTTCCTGGAGGGCAAAAATGGATGGTAGTAACTGGTTTCAGTGAGTGGTATGTTACTGATGCAATCCCTATCTTGTGTGAAGCCCTTGGTAGTGGTTACAGGGAGACAAGAAAGGACTGATTCCTGCACTGGACTGGCACCCACAGAGAAGAAGACAGCAGTAAAGGAGAGAGGGAAGAAGCGCTGCCATAGCTGAGATTGTCGGGTGACTGGCAGTATCTGGCAAGCTTTGTATTTCCCACATGGGACTAAGTTTGTTTTGATATTTAGTCTGTCACAGCAAATTTTTGTGTGAGTTAAACTTTCCCATGCAGAAATACCTCTGGGGGCTGAAGAGGAAGTGAAGAAGTGATAGTATGTTGCCTCTGGAGGTGTTGGACTTTGTCTGCCAGCAGATCTGGGTGGGCTGCTCTGGACAACTCATCTTCCTTAGGAAAGCAAAGACCTTGATTTTGACTTCTGACTGTTAATGATCCAGTCACAGGTTTGGTTTAGTGTGAGGCCCTTTTGCTATTGCTTCATCATTCAGCAGTTGTTCTAGAGGGTATTCCACATCCTCTGGGGCTTCTGCAACATGTTATTGCTGTACCACAGCACTGGTGGGGAGAGGCTCACAGGAACCAGTATGTCCAACAACCCCAGCTCAAGGCATCTCAATGGGGAGGGAAAAATTCAGGTGTGATCTCTTTGTGCCCTGGGATGCTTTGAGTAGCAAAATCCAAGCAAGAGAAGAAATCGAAGACTACTATTATATGGCACTCAAAGGCTATGTCTTGAAGGACCAGATCCTCCATAACCAGCTCACTTTTACCTCTGTGTGTGTCTGTAACAGTGGCAGTTGATTTATAGAGGTGTTGGTCAAAATCCCTTATCGCTTACTTTGATCCACTGATCTCAGGGACTTCCTCTTTTTTGAAGCAGTGATTTCTCCTTGAACCTGTAACAATGGGTAATTGCACTCTGGGGGTTCTCATTTTAAACACTTATCAAGGATCAAAATTAAACCCCATTGAAGAGCTAATAATCTCCCATTGCAGCACCATCTGTGTTGATCAGTCATGTCTGTAGTTGAGAGGAAATTTGCAGGATAGTGCTGGATGGTGTTCCTTCCAGCACGGCAGGGAGCCCCACCAAAGTTTCTGGCAGCCCCTGGGATCCTGGGTTGGGGAATTAAAAACTAAGTTACTGCGGTTGGCAAGGGATCAAAACTGAGTTTAAAGAGCCGAAGTATTATGGACCTGACATTTTTACATCGAGCTGCCAGTGCCACGTTAAATGGGTGCCCAGCAGTGCCTAAACGCCTGCCAGACTGGCGCTAGATTGCAAAGAGGTTCCCTGCTCACATTAATCAAGTGCACAGATTATTCTTGGAAGTGCTTTACGAAACAGGTAGTGCATGGCAGGACTCTAAGTGAGGTGCAATTTCTGGTGTCATGGTGACTTTACAGAGGAGCAAAGTGCTAGTAATGAGGCATTACAGAGCCAAATGATGCCGTGTTTTGGATGGAGGGAGGAAGCCCTGCACCAGCATGGATCTTCTTTGTCAATATGCTGTTTAAAGGGCCCTGCCTTGCTCTGGAAATCAAAATGTGTGAGAGGTTTCAAATGTTCCCTCATCAAACATCACCTCATTCAAGCCTGGTGAGGTTTGCTGTGCAAACAAGCTCCTGGGCCATTTGCAGCATGGGTTTTAGTCCACATCTGTGGGACAGCTGTTTGTCATGTGCTGCCAATGCCCATCATTACCTTCTCCTGCATAGCCTTGGGGGAAGGCACCCTGTGTGAGGGTGACTGCTTTCCTTCTGTAAAATTGGGGGAGACAGTAAAGATGGATGGATCATGTTGTAGACAAATTGTGTAAAAGCTTCTTAGAGGAGGCTCTAAGGTGTGAAAGGTGGCAAGGTGTGGAACTTACCCTGTTTGCCCCAGGGATAGTCCCCCTTTGAGCAAAGAGTGTGAGGTCTGTTATGTGGAATAATGCAGAGCTGCCTTTTGCCAAGTCTGCAGAGCTCTTGGTCTTTTCTTGGGCCGGAACAACTCTCCTGCTAACTTAATGCCTTTGTCTATGCCAAATCCAGAAGTTTAGGGACCCTGTTTTTGTAAAACCCAGACATGAGCTGTTATGGGATCAAAACTGATACCAGATTGGGCTTATATGTAGGTGCTGGACAGACAAGAATGTTGTCTTGGACTAGAGCAAGGTAGAATGTACACTGCCTGCAGCACACAGAGAGCAGTAGTGGTGCAGCAGGTGTGGGGTGTGCACCCCCTAAACTTGGACATATTATTATGGCAGGCAGTGCATGTGGAACCAGTCATGTTGTAAAAGTGTCTCATCTTCAATTCCAGCTGTAGATGAGGTGGGTAAGAGGGAGTTTAACTTGGACCAGGTGCAGATGGGTGGGCAAACTGCTGTGAGTGAATGCAGGTCATGTCTCCCTCTCCATCCCCTAATGATTGCAGGATCCTACCCCTCTTCACATTATGTTCTTTATCTCCCAACTGTATTCATGTCTTAAGATATTTTTTTAATCACAGTATTTTAAGATCCACCCTGTTCTGTCCATCCAGGCAACTACTGCAGATCCACAGCATTTTCCTAGTGTGTAACTGTGACTGCCTGACATATAGCCCTGTTAGCATCCTCCCCACTCTGTATCAAGCATAATTCCCTGAGGTGATCTCCCTAGACCATTGCTGAGATCCCATCATCCTGGTTCTGAATTCTTCCACTCCCTTCAGCACCTTGAAACACAAAGTTTAAACTTCATTTTAAATAGACTGATGCTTTCTCTTCATGCTAGTTGTACAAATCATCCCAGGTCTCCTTTCCCACTCCCTCTAGGAAAAGGGTGTCCTTGGGACTGGGGGGAATGGGCCTTCCACTGAGAAGTTTTTCTTTATTCCTGATCTTTCAGAGGAGTTCAGAGGGGTCACCATCGTGGAGCTGATTAAGAAGGAAGGAAGCACCCTTGGGTTAACCATTTCGGGTGGTACAGACAAAGATGGAAAGCCAAGAGTCTCCAATCTGAGGCCAGGAGGACTGGCTGCAAGGTGAGAAATGGAAATGGGATGCAGAGAGCACAACAAAACTGGAGAGGAATAGTTGCATGTTCCAGCTACTGAATGAATAGAGTTATAATTAAAGCTGTTGGCACCCAACTCCCTTTTTTCAAGTGCCCCAGAATGCAAAGTTGTTGCTTCGGGAAGTAGAGTGTCTTCTATTTTGAGTTATTTCCTATGCTCTGTGCAATTATGCTCTGAAATTTTGTGTAGGGATATTAGGGATTCTGTGAAATTAGGCAGCCTTGTCAGGAGAGCTGCATGGTACAATACATCTTGATCAAGCTAAGTGGTTTAATATTGTTTCTGCTCTGAATACTGAGTCTGTAAGTAACGTTATTGGCTCAGAAAAGGAATGGGCAAAGAAAGGCTCCAAGAAGCAGAGAAAGGGAAGGAGTATTCGAACAGTTTTTCAGAAAACAGGCAAAAGGAAAGAAGTTTTCTTTTTCCCTGCTGGATTTATTTCTTCAGACAGCTCTTGGTGTGCTTTTCTTTGACTGATTGCTCTGCATGAATGGGAACTGAGCAACAAAAGAGAGGTTGTGAATGTATACGCTGTGGTTGTTGCTACATGTACAGATCTGAACGCTTGCCACCAGGAAAGATAGATGGCTTCAATTTTAGCGCTTCCCTGTGATAGCAGACACATGCAATCAGACAGCAGACAGCTGAGATCAGCCCAGCATTGGTGGCTTGTTCAAAAACTCCTCCAGTTACCAGCCAGCCATGCCCAGGCTGGATGTAGCAGAGACTGTGCTACCACTGCTTTTTTTTTTGCTTTTTATTCTTTGCAGAAGCGACCAGCTGAACGTCGGGGATTATATCAAGTCAGTGAATGGCATTAACCTGACCAAGCTGCGGCATGATGAGATCATAAGCCTGCTGAAGAACGTGGGTGAAAGGGTAGTGCTGGAAGTAGAGTACGAGCTTCCGCCAGCTGGTGGGTGCCTCCCTGGTAATGCTGCTCTCTCTCCCTGGCTGCCTTTTGTCCTGGGGTGCAGCTGGACTTGCTTGTGCATTGCCTGCCGTGGCCAAGGCAGTGTCCAGGGGCATTCTGATGTGCCTTCATGTGCTCACAGCGTGGCTGCTGCAGAGCTGTGTGCAGTCGGAGCAGAGCGCATTTTCCAGCACAGTGGGTGCCTGTTCATGCACACCGGCAGGGGATGGCTGATTAGGTCTGTCTTGCCTCCGAGTGACTTGGTAGCACAGGCCAATCTGCCTCCTGATGCTGCTTCAGCTTGTTTTTCTTTTTCCCTTTTGGAGCGTGGCTACGGGAGGTTTTATTCAGTCTTAAACACGTATTGCCAGATGCTCTTTTCAGAACTGTGGCAAGTGCTGTTAGTCCTCAGGATGCTTTGAAGTGTTATGTGTTTTCAGAAGGGAAGCTGAAGCAATCTGCTCTCCAGCTAAGGGGCCCTGGCAGGAGCTGGCAAGCCCAACTCAGTGGGCTTGTGTCCTGATGTGGGAGAGGGTGCTCTTGCCCTCATTTGTTTCGATGATTGAGGTTTCTGATTAAAACAAATTCCTCGATACAGTTTCTCATCATAGTCTTTCCACTGTGAAAACAATCTCCGCAGTTATTAGTCATTCAGTTACCCAGATCAATCAGAGGATGATTGGGCAGAAGAAATAGAACAACTAAAAATAAGATGACAGGAAAACCAAAACTAATGAAATCTAAATATTTTGCCCCAGATAGGAAGCTATCTTACACTTCATAGCTTTGCTCTAGCTGCTGCCTTTATATGAAAAGTATTCAATATATAAATGAATATATAAAGCCCAAAAAAGAGCAAAATCTAATCTGGATTGAATGAATCTCTATCCATCACTCCCCTCTGTGCTGCTGTAAATGTTAGTGAGTTTTCTGCATACAACCCTGACAGAGCCAACTGTGGATCGAGTTTTTTGTGTTGTCATGCTCCCTAGGGATGAGAACTCTTAACCTTTCTCTGTGCCTGTGAGCCTGGCTGTCAGGGATCTGATAAGCTGTACTGCCCAGCCGAGGAGCGGTGCCAATGCCGCGTGGCTCAATCAGCAGCAGCGACGCGAAATGTCCCCGGCTCTGAATGAGCAGGAAGAGCACACTGAGATACCGACTTCTCTCCAGTGGCATTATTGGGCTGTTTATGAATGATCCAAACAAAGAAGCACTGCAAAATACAGGGAATTGTCAATTATTGCCTGGTTTCAATTCATTGTGGGCTTTTATCTGCTATGAATTTGTTATTGCTGTGTGTACTCGCCTCTCTCTCCCTCTCTTTCCCTGGGCAAAGAGCAGAAATACAGTGCAATTCAGTAGCTCATGCTTGTGGGTTGGAATTTTTCTCCCCACTTTGTAATTTTCTTCTTTGGAAGAGATCTTGCAAGTTCAAGTCCAGTTTTCAGGCCACTATGTTGTATCATTCTCTTTCATAAATAAACTGAGACCTGTATTAACACCAGCTAAGGTCTCCCTACTCCTGCTGATCTTATTAAAGCTGTTGCAGCACTTCATGTTTGGATGCTTAGGACAGAAATTGGATGGTTTCTGAACTCATTTGTGGATGCTTTATACCCTTTGCTTGGTATTTGAGTTTTACCCCTTATCTGTGAACCTTCCTGTGCCCTGAGGTTTTCCCTTCTGGAATTTTTCTGGGCTGTGTCCCTGTTAGCTGTCTGCACCACAACAGAAGCAAAGTGGGGACAGTGTTTTGGAGGTTTATTTGGCCTTGCTGTAGCCTGATCCCCAGGGCTGGCTGCCTGTAGGGTGGTACCATGCCCCCACTGCATGTCTTTTGGGTTAGTTTAACCCTAATTTGGGTGCAGGTTGCAAGTCCTCGGGGTCCTTGGCAGTGAGGACAGAAGGGAGATTCACTTCAAAAACCCCCTTCCGAGGCAAGGGAAATACCAGTGGGTGGGTGTGCCTAGGGCAGCATTCAGCTCCAATTTGCCAGGTTGAAGTCAAGTTCTTAGTCTTTTTTTCCCCCCTGATTATCTGTGTGACCATTCATAATACTTGGTTTGAAGATTAGGAATTTTCAGAACGGACCAGTCTGAAATGCCATGTTCAGTTCTGGATGGAGAAGACCAGGAAATTGTCCTGTATTCCCTGCAGTAGTGCAATAAATCATCAAATAGCAGAGGATGGCAAGGGTTAGAAACAGTTTCTTTCTTTTTCTCTTTACTTTTGTACATTTTGTATTTTGTACAAATAGTACTGTGTATTTAACATAAAATTATTGAATTGCCCCTGGGATCAGTTTAAAGGATTCACTTAATCTTTTTTTAAATCCAAAATATGAGAGGTAAGGAAAAAACTCCAACCTTTTGCACTGAGGATTTGGAATTTTCATTTTCTTTAAGGTCAGCCAGCAACTTGATTCCTTATGCTGCTGCTGGGGTTTTTTTTAATAAGTTTCTATCTGTGGCAGAAGCTTTTGAGAAAACCTGAACACATTAAAGCCAGTTGATAAACGAGATGGTTTTACTTGAATGTCAGAGTATTAACCAAGACAAATTTGAGGGGAGATGCACAACACTGAACTGGTGAAATCACCCTAAACATGATGGTTGGCTCTGATGAAGGTTCATGTGTCTGGGTTGGGCTCTTTTTTCCTCCAAATAGGCAAGATACAATATGGGCTTTGGGCTGGACTTTCATTTCAATGATGTTTAGATGAGTTTGGATATATTTTGCAGGGTGGTTGGAAAGAGTTTATCTGGGGGTAACTGATTTTTTTTTTTCTTCCTTTAGTGCCAGAAAGCAGTGCTGGCATTATTCCCAAGACCATAGAAGTTTCCCTCTACAAGGAAGGCAACAGCTTTGGCTTCGTGCTGAGAGGTTAGTAGCTTCTCCAAAGAAAAGCAGAGGGGACAAGCACTGGCAGAGGTGATTTTGGAAGTGGGAAAATAAGAAAGTGAATGTCATAAACTTCAGCTGAGTAATAAATGTGTACCCTGGAGAGTATCCCTTGCAGCCTTCAAGGACTGCCAGCTGCCTGATCCAGGGCAGTCGTTTTTCTTTCAGGCTGTGTCAGCTGTTGTGTGGTAAATGCCCCTTCTTTCTCAGCACTCTCATTCAGACTTCCAAACCTCCTGTGACTTACGGCTTTCCTGGTTTGATTTCAGGGGGAGCCCACGAAGACTGGCACAAGTCGAGACCGCTGGTGCTCACCTACGTGAGGCCGGGTGGCCCAGCAGACAGGTACTGCCCGTGTCACACCTCCAGCATGCGCTGTCACAAGACAGACCTGCAGCTCTCCCCCTGCCCTCGGACGCGTGTCATTCTTGGCCTCCTTGCTGGTGGTGTGGAATGACGGAGGTGGTGTGGGGCCTGTGGAATGTGGGGAGGAAGCACCCGGTGCTCAGAGGCTGACTTGCGTAGATGTTGTAGTTATAAGCAGAAACTCCTCTTCCAGAGGCAGCCACTTCATTAGCCCCGTGCAGATGAATCGCTGATGCTATTTTGGAAAGCAGGAGCCAGTCTATCTACTCTCATGCTCATAATTTAGTATGATGGGCCTTATACTATAAATAACCCAGACTATTGTCCCAATGAGTATTCAGTTCCTACAGGAATTCCTACAGGATGAAAGTAATTGACTTTTTCATATGTGTGTATATATATATATACGTGTGTACACACACAAAAAATATATACTTATGTATTTATATATTGATAATATAGATATACAGCTAATTTACTTATAGAAATCCAGATAGATATATAAACATAGCTAGATTATATGTCTAAATATAAATAAACACATATAAACAAAAAGAATTTTTCCTGTGGCTTCCTTCAGGGAAGGGTCCTTGAAAATTGGGGACAGGCTGCTGAGCGTTGACGGGATCCCTCTGCACAGCATGACCCACGCTGACGCCCTCAACATCCTGCGGCAGTGCAGCCAGGAGGCACTCTTCCAGATCGAGTACGATGTGACCATCATGGGTAAGGGCAGGATGGTTGTGACCGCATCTTTTTTTTCTGACTGCCTGGAAAATATGTGAGACTGGAGACAGTAATTGGGGGTACTCAGCTCCAGTGGAAAAATTGCTGAGCAATGTGCTGCCAGCATGGGTGTAAGGGGTAGAGTTCAAAGCTGGATTAGTTAAATGCATTTGAAATGCTCTTATCCAGTGATGTGTCTTGATAGGAATGATGAGTGGTTTTAGAGGAGTGGGGGTAAAGGGGATTTTGTAATGTAGGCAAAGAGGGCATAGGAGAAGTCAGAGTTAAAAGAGGCTGGAGCACTCTGCCAGCACTGCAAATAGGGCTATTAAATGTGTGCAGGGGAGTGAGCTGCATGCAGGCAGAGACTTGCTCTGGCTTTGGTTCTGAATTTTGACCCTACTTAATTCCAAAGCTATTTTTCTTAGAAATGTTACTTCAGATCTGCTTCTGAAATAAATGAGGGGTGATCAACAGATTGACCCCAAATAAGACAGAATTTACTGGAGGGCAGAGGATGGGCATTTCTAAAAAGCATTTTACACAGTAGATATTAAGTTTGAGGGTTTGGTAGGCTGAGGTTTTTTTTCATTTGATTTTCAGTTTCAAGCCCTGGGAAAGGGTTTATTATTAGCTACTGTAAAGGCATTTTGAACTGGCTTTGTGGCACGGAGCTGTTACTGCAGGGAGTGTCATTAATGAGTTTAAGGTTACCACTGAGTTCGAAGCTGTGTTGGTTCTGGAAGCTCATCGAGCTGTATGTTAGATTTTGATGTGCATATGTCTCCAGAGGGGTTTCTGCTTCCACTGGAACCATGCATAGCTGGACTAGGTTGGAGTCTTTTCTGTAAATCTTGTAAACCAGTCCAGCATGTCTGAGCCTGTGATCCAAGAGAGGAATAGGAGTCCATGACATCAGGTTGTTTTCTGGTTTGTCGGTGTGGAGGAAAATAAAAAGGATCTAAAGCTGAGAGATTTGTATACCATGTCATCCCCAAGGAAGGAGAGCTGAGAACACCAGAATTCGCTCCATGCAATGTGCAAGAGGGTTGCACCAGGATAAGGGAGCTCCTTGTGACAGCCCTGAGGACTTTCTGCTTCTTGTTGAGACTCCTTCCCTCAAACTTTCCCTTTTTGGCAGAAGCTCCACAAGCATGGACATACTGGCTCTCCCCTGGGGGAGGTGGCTGCCAGGAGCTGGGCAGCCCTGTTCCACACAGACACCTTCTCCAGGAGAGAGCTGGAAGGAAACGCTGATGCCTCGGCAGTTGCTTGCAGTCTGCCTGGCTTCTGCTGTGTTACAGGAGCAGCTTATCTTTAGAAACTGGCTGGTGTTCATGATAAAGAGGAAACATTTAAATGATGGAAAACTCTATTATCTGCCTTTCTGTGATTGTTTTGGGGTAACTGCAGTGGTCAGTAAAGGATGTCCATTCCTCCTCTCACAGGCTGCTCCAGGGAGGGGGCAGGTGGAAGTAAGGTGGGACTTTGCACAGAGTTTTCAAGTCTGATCAATAGCAAACAATTAAGTGAATGGGGGGTTATTGTTTATGTGGTCCCTCAGTGTCTATGTTGCAGAAGCTAAATGTTGTAAAACCCGACTTGGAGCAAAAATAGCCATGAAGGTGTCTTGGTGTTTCCTCTTGAGTAACTCTCCCCCCTGAAACTGTTAGGGTTGTGTGAACGTGGAGGGATGGCAGGGTTTTATGCAGTGATTCTCCATCTTCTGTTGCTATATAGTGGACCAGAACTAGATACTTCCCAAGATGTAAAAAAAGCCCCTTTGTTGGATAATTTCTGCCTGGAGAGTGCTCTCCCCAACGCTGTAAAGGGCTATACCTGTCCTGATTTCTTTTAAGGCAAGATGATGCAGAACATGTGGCTTAAAACAGTCTCTGCAAAGAATTTTGCCAGGCAACAGCTAAAAACTGCAAGGGAAGATGAGTACAGCATCCCCAGTTCATAGCCATTCTTTTTACCAGCCTGGGAAGAGAAGAGCAGGTGCTGAAAGTGGTGTGGGGATGTTTTTAGCCTGAAGGAATCACTCCTAATTCCCATTTTGAAAACTTGGTGAAGGGGCTGGGAACACCACCACAAAGTGGTGCTTGGCCTGTTCATCCCCAGGGAAAATGGAGGTTTTTACATTGCACTCGCTCTCTGTTGCAGCTGTACATGCTGGGGTGGTGTGGGCTGACCCTCTAGGAGGCAAAGTTGTTTTTCTGCATCTGTCTTTGGTGAGAGACCAAGGTTGCTGTGGGGGAGCATTGAATCACAGTGTTCCCCAGCTGGCTGTGTGGTTTTCCAGCCAAAATTGTGTGCCGAGGGTGAGCTGCATGGGCCAGCCTGCGCTAGGTGTGAGGGACGTGGCAGCTGCTTGCTATCGCCACCAAGCATCCCTCAGCTTTTGGGATTTCACCAGAGAGGCCAGAGTAGCATGGGGCCACGGCAGGCTTTTAATCAAATTGGCTGAGATTTCTCAAGACCTCTAAAGGAATTAAAGTAATCTACCATTTCCATTTTAAAAGGAGTGCCAACTAGGCAAGCACTTCTCTTGGGCATTGGGAAAATCTCTGCCCTTTGCTGATGCCAGATAAACCTTGCAATGAACAGATGCTTTCCCATGGTGGCATTCTATCTTATGGCCCTTTCCCTTTCCCCTGCACTCCCAAAGTGCATTATAGCAGGGAAAACTCATCCCTACCACCACACTTTACTTATTCCCTAGGCAACTGCACTTACCAGGCTTGTTACAAGAGCTGTCCCTCCTCAGGGAGATGAGCAAAGCCAAGTAGGTCTCACAGGAACCTGGTGCAAGAAGGAAACCCACTCCCAGTATTTCCTCCAAAATAAGCTGCTGAAAGATCTTCTCCAAAACACCTGCCAACCTGCAGCTTTGAGTGGTGAGGTGATCAGCTCTACTGTATCTTTGGCACTGGGGTGTCTGAGAGCCTGGAGCAGATTTTTTTCCCCCTTGTATCCACCACAATATTTGTGAGTACCCTTCAAGCTTGTGGGTGTGAGCAGGTGTTGCATGGCCCTTTGTGTCCCCTGGGAAGGTTGCAGCTGTATGTGATGGTGCAGAAACACCTCATGGTGCCAATGCAGCAATGCCCATTGACTCCCTGCAGTGAAGTTATTGCATGGCCTGCTCTGTCCCCTCCATGTTTCTTTTTAAATTAGCTTGAGCGTAATAGCCCCATGTTAGTCACACCTGAAAAATATTGCTAGATTGCAGACTCCTGACCTTTGATTTGAGCCAAATCTTTCCCTGGAATAATTAATAGAGTCTTGGCTGGTATTTCCTCAACAAATGCCTCTATAAAATGGATTTGGAGCAATTCTCATCTATGCCACTGGAGATGTGATTTAAAAGGGACGGCAAGGTGGACCGTACTGCGTGTGGTGGGAGAAGTGACCCTGGGCTGAAGGCAGGACTGTGGTTTCTTACAGTCTTACTGATAACCTCAGTGCTGAGGCTCTTTCTTCTCACCATCATGTTGTGACCTCCCTGGGAAACACTTGGTAAAGCTGAGAAGCTTGGACACTGGGTAATAGGGAGAGGAGTTGGTATCTGCCTTGCAAAGGAAGGTGTAACACTCCAGCAAGCTCTTCTCATGATTTTATTTTCCCTATCTTCTTCCCTTCAGCTGGAGGGATATAAATCTGTGTCCCTCTTCAGAGGATATGTGCTGGACATACACAGGCAGCAAAACTAACACACAGCTGGTGTTTGCTGTTGGAAGAGATCCTCAGTCTCGTGGTGCCTCCTTTGCCAACAAAGGCTTAAGTGCACCTTCTGCAGGTTTGAGCTGGGTGCTTTGTGCATCTTTTCATTAAAATGGGACTGTGCTTTTTACCAGGGCCTGCAGATCTCCCCAGTGGTCCTTTACATCAGAGAATAAACAGTGTTTTATTTGAAGCCTGCATAACCTTTACCGTGGCTCATTCCTCCTTCTTCCTCCCCTGTGAAAAAGGGCATGGTGAGTAGATCAGAGCCTGAACATCCCTTGGATGATCCCCAAGGGGAATTTCCAAGGTAAATTTCTGTCTCCAGAGACTCAGCACCTTCAACAAATCTCATGAAAGACCTTGCTGGGGCTTAGCTTCCCGGATCTGCATTAGTGCTCCCATTTGTCAGAGAACAAGAATGAGCCATGCATCAAGCTCTGGAGCCAAGTAACATCAGCATTTTTAGTGGAGCATAGCTTTGGAAGGGAAAAACCTTACTATGAATAATTAAGGGCTAAGGAGGCATCAAGTGTTCAGAGGGCTCTGCTGGCCTTTCCTTCAAAGTGGATGGCTGGGCTTTCATGAGTGCTTTTGTGTGGGGGTCAACTACACATGGGGTGTTGGTTGTTGGATGTCCCATGGTGATAACAAATTTGTTAATGCTACCTCTTTGTGATGGCTTTAGGTAATCTGGAAGCAAATGTGTGTAATAGAGGTGGTGGGAATTTCTGGCTAATCAGCCAGAAACACAGGTTTTCTTTTTCCTCCCCCTTCCTCAGAAGAGATGGATAGGTGTGGTGCAGCTTTATACTGACAGGTGCAATTTCGTAGGAGTTTCATTGTCTCACTTACAGCATCTATTAAGCTTATTGCAGAAATGCTTCTTTTAAACACAAGTTGCCCCTATATTGTCTGAGGGGAGGCTGCTGTAAGCACATGGGTGCTGTGTCTGCTCCCACTGACACTGGAGGAGCTCAAACAAGCAGCTGAACTGGTATTTTGAAGCTGGTGCTCAAGCACAGAAGACTTGGCTGGTTTGTGTGCTGGTCATCAGCCACAAGACTTCTGCGTACTTCAGAAGGTGGGATCCTGTATCTTTGTGTCTTTTCTTTTTTACTTGTTTGAGAAAAAGCCTATGACAGCTATGTCCTTCTGATCTTCCTTTTTTTGTGGTTTTAATGCTGTTCATGTGACTGCTGCAGAGCCTTTGAGCAATCTCTTCCTCGATCTTGCTATTTAACCCAAAGAAAAGAGGGAGGAGGTAGTTTCCATGAGTGAATTGTTGTAATATCTCTTCATGTAATCATTATAATGTAGATTTTGTGCAAAAGGAATTTTGCTTCTTGAATGTCCTTCTTTGTTAAGTTGCCACGTGACACGGACTGTAAGATGCCCAAACTACAGGTTTGCTGATGCGCATGGCAAGTCAGCACTGTTGGACAACCCCTGCATTTAGAAATGGAAAAGGCTGTAGGACAAGTGTCTTCAGGTGCTCTCTTGTTTTGCAGATACTGTAGCAAATGCTTCTGGTCCTTTACTAGTTGAGATAGCAAAGACTCCGGGGTCTACACTGGGAATCACTCTGACAACAGCCATGCACCGGAACAAGCAGGTGATTGTCATCGATAAGATCAAGCCAGCCAGCGTGGTGGACAGGTACAGATCTGAACAGGCTGCTTCTACCTCTGCTCTTTCTTTCTCCACTGCTTTTTTGTCCTTTTGTTAGTTATGTGCCATTCTTCACTGTCTTGCCCTGAAATGTTCATGTCCACACATTCTTAGCACTACATGGGCTAAAAATATCTGACCCAAGAGCAGTGGACATTCCTCACCAGGAATGAATGTAACTCAGTGCACGTGAAAGCTGAGCTCTGCTTTAGAAACCTCAGATGTGACTGCCCTGGAGCTGTGAAATAGCTAAAGCCCATTATGGAAACTTCTGGCTGGAGCCTTTTCCCGATAGACAAGTCAGTTAGTCACCCTTACCTGGGGATGCAGACAGGCAGATTGCTGTGCAGCACTGCCTGTGTCAGCTGTGTTTCTGAGCTGAACTGCTGGCTCTTAGGACTCAAAGGTGAAGGGCCTTGGGGGGAAGCCTTATGAGGAATGGTTTAGGTCACTTGGTCTGTTCAGCCTGGAGAAGAGGAGACTGAGTGGAGACCTCATGGCAGTCTACAAGTTCCTTGTAGGGGGAAGAGGAGAGGCAGACACTGATCTCTTCTCTGTGGTGAATGGTGGCAGGACCTGAGGGAATGGTCTGAAGTTGTGTCAGGGGAGGTTTAGGTTGGATATTAGAAAAAGGTTCTTCACCCAGAGGGCGGTTGGGCACTGGAACAGGCTCCCTGGGGCAGTGAGCCTGACAGAGCACCAAGCCTGACAGAGCTCAAGAAATATTTGCATGATAGGCACATGGTGTGACTCTTGGGGATGGTCCTCTGCAGAGCTAAGGGTTGGTCTTGATGATCTTTGTGGGTCCCTTGGAGCTCAGTATATCCTGTGAGTCTGTGATTATGCTTCTGGTGAAGTCCTCAGCCATCCAAACTAGCTATGAGGGGGCGCTATTAAAAACCTGAAAGATTTTTCCCAAGCCACCAGCAGCACTGACTGAAACATAAATCATCTTAGTTGGTATTTTGGGCAATGTTTGAACCTAAGGTTCAAATTGGAAAATAAAAATTACATGTGAAAAAAAATCTCCCAAGAATTCACAAAATAATTTGCAGTTGGATTTTGTCTGTGTGCTCCCAGCTGTGACGACATGGATGTTGGATTTTGGAAGTGTCTGATTACCTCTCTTGCTGTTTCCTTTGCAGATGTGGCGCGTTGCACGTTGGTGACCACATTCTCTCCATCGATGGCACGAGCACGGAGCACTGCTCGTTGTTAGAGGCAACTCAGCTTTTAGCTGCCACTTCAGAAAACGTCAAGCTGGAGATATTACCTGTTCACCAAAGCAGGCTGCCTTTGAAGCCTCCAGAAACAGGTGAGTCCTCTGTGCAAACACTGTTGGTCACCCTCAAAACTCACTTTAGGTCCCTACTGGGGTTCTTGCTGCTTTTGAGTGCTGGCAGCAGATTCCAAAGAGAGACATCTGTGGAGGGGAAAAAAATTGATGTTTTGATGAAATGCATGTGATTAGATGATGTTCTTCAAGGATATGAATAGGGAAAAGAGGTTACATCTGTGCTTGAATGGGGAGATTGGAGATGGGAATCCCAGGGTTTTGCAGTGCTCAGTGCTGTGCAAGCCACTTCCTTAGTACCTCAGATAAGAGACTTTAATGGAGAGGGAGGAAAACAACCTTGGTGCTGGCAAATGTATTTCCAAGCTCAGTTTTTATTTGCTGATGCCTGGTAAGGCTTTGAAAAAGACCTGTCAGTAGCTAGGCTGGGTAGGTGGACTTCCAAAACTGTAATGTAAGTGTTCATCTTCCAGACCAGCCTGGTGGAGTGGCAACTGTGTCTGAGTAGTCAGGGGTAGAGTGAATCCATCTGTAGCTGCTGGTTTCCACCACGTTTACCAAAGAAATACTGAGAAAGTAAATTCTGGCTCTAGTGAGATCAAGCCCAAAATGCCTGTAAACATGATTAGGAATTGACCCATCTGAGAATTCTTGTTTCCCACCTTTAGCTTCTCCTTCCACATGAGAAGCTGTCTTGGGCTCTCATATAAGTTTCATTGTGACCATAGCCTCAGTACTAGTGTATTTGTTGCAACTCTTGCCTGTACTTTCATTGCAGTCCATACTGATGGTCTTGAAATTTCAGGTGTTTTGGGTGTCAGTGTTCAGTTCTAGTCCTTTTTTCAACCATTTTCAATCATCTGTCTCTCAGGGACATGCATTTTAATAATACTGGTGCACAATTTTACTGATACAGTAAAACATAAAACCCAATAACATCTCAGTGTCTAGAAATAAATCTTGTACACACCCAGTTCAATTTGTGCAGAATTAAAGCAGTTTAACAAAGGGAATGGGTGACTTGACCTTTGCGCCCAAGAAAAAATGGAAAGCTATAATCCTTTTTCAATGGCTGTTAAAATGAACTATTCTCCTCCTTCCATTAGTGCCCTGGTCCTAATCTTGTTGCAGAGTATTAGCATTCAGCAGCAGCCCAGGAGAAGGAGGCTCTGTGGAAGGACATCTCGGTGTGATCAGAGCCTTTTTGCCCAAACCGCCGTAGATCAGATCAGTGCTGTGGTAGAAATACAGAACACAGACTTGGGAGAATAATTGCTACACACAAATATGAAAAATAAGAGATATAACAATTGTTTCCACTTTTTTGATTAAACTCTTTAACGTGTGAAGGATTCTGTTCTTCCATGTGGCCGTTAGGAGGCAGAGGTGTGTGACTGGAGACCAGTGCTTGGGCTTGAACCTTCTCCAGTGCTGATGGGGGGTGGTGGGGACAGGAAGGAGAGCACTTTGGACAGAAGAAGCAACTCAGGAAGCCCCTGTTCCTCAGTGGTGTAACCAGCCATGGCACCCCGCAGCTCATGGAGAGTAGCTGAGGAACAGCACCAAAGTTGACAAACTGTGTCTGGACCGGGGAAAGATCCTGCCTTCTCCTCCAGGCACTGCTTGCCAACTCCACAGGCTGCTTTTTCCGAGTTTGGGGAAACAAATAGGGGCAGTAAGGAAAAATAGGCCATGGAAGAGCAAACTGTTGTGGTTGGCAAGCAAGTGAAACTCAGGGAAAGCAGCTGAGAGAGGAGATGATGCAGATATATTCCTGTTCAGCACTCGCATTACTGAGTCCTTCCAGCCTGTGCCTGCATGGGGTTTGTTATCATATTTTTTTAAGAGTGGCTTCTTGTGCAGTGAACATCTGTTTCTTGAGGAGATGGAGAAGGATCTGAAACTGCAGTGTCCATGAAAAATATGGCCCAATGCTGAAGCATGGGATTTGTCAAACTGAGTTTGCTTTCTCTGTGGCTCTGGGGGCATTTGGAGAGTTTGATGGGAGGATTATGCCCTACTCACAAGATCAATGGGAGCAGCTGGTGCCCAGGAGTAGTGCTGGGATGGATGAGTATCCTCAGGCAGGGATGATGTGTAAAAGATTGGGGAAGGCTGTTGTAGGTTTTTATCACAGAATTGTCCAAAATCTCTTCTCCAATGCATTGGCAGCTGAGCTTCAAAGGCACGTTTTTTTTCTTTTGTGAGATGTAAGCTAAGAATTTATAGGCAAATGGAAGAGTTTTAGTTTCTCTAAGTGGATTAAATTATTTTGTATATATGCCTATAAGCTCTGACCCTCATGTTCCAAGTGTTTAATTTTATTAAGAACTTTGCTTTTTGTCTAGATATAGCTACATTTATTAATTTGATTTTTGTTTTTAAAAGCTGCCTGGCTCTGAATTTACTTTTGAATCCACAGAATAGGAACCCCAGAGCTGGAAGTGTATTTTTTAAAAGCTTGATAGACTAAGTGCTAAACTCAGTAAATGTTTAGCAAAGTCTAAATATAATCACTGTAACTGGCAGGAAAACCTGACCTAAATGATTTAATGCCTGTGATGCACACAAACAAAATGGATTTCCACTGTTCAAGGCACTAAGAGATGACCTTTAGAGGAGATCTCTGTGTGGACTCATTAAATAAACTAAGTTCCTGCCCCAGATTTGCAGCCTCAGAAGGGTTTGATAGTGCCAAGGCTGCTCAGAGAACCCAGAGCCTGGAGGAGATCTCATCCTGGGAAACTGCTTGCCAGCCAGTGCAAGTGGTTGTGAGGTTAAGAATTCTGGGATGATGTGTGGCTGCAGTGGTGCTCCACTGTGGGATGCTCTTCATGCTTAGCTGAATAAAACAGATGCTTGAAATCTTGCTCGTGAGCCAGAAATTCCTCTCAGAAGAAAACAGATCCCGACAGCGTGGTGCAGGGATTCGGGAGAGAACACCTGGTGCTGTTGGGCAAGGAAAACCAAACTGACCCTGTGCTTCCCAGGGGCATCAGTGAGAACAGACAAGGGACCTGTGCCTGGCAAGTGTTGGAGTCACTTCAGAAGAGACTTGTGGCATCGTGACTTGGAGTCTTAAAGGCACAGTTCCTGGGCAAGGGATTGCCAGGTGCTGGATGTCACACTGCAGTAGATTTCCACTGCCATGTGCTGGGGTCAGGGTTGAAGTTAAAGCAGCAAAGCTGTGTGTCCTTGAACGGGGTCTGCCATGTGGGTGCCAAGTTTTCATTTACTGTTCGCCACAGCACTGGCATCTTTTCCTGTGCTGGTGGGCCTCCTTATTGCCTTTAAGCAGCGGTTTATAAAACCCCTTTTGTTCTGGTGAGCTGGAGGCAGCCCTCTGTTACTCCTCTCTTTCATCTCTGTGTACATTCCTGGCCAAGAGCAGCCGCTAAGCAACCAAATGCTGAAGCCAAGTGCTCAAAGCAACCCTTGGCACATGTAGAAGGTGTTGAGCCTTGTCACAGGGAGGGCAGCTCTGTCAGCAAGGTGGGAGGCAGGGCAAGGAGCTTCCCCGGTGCTGTTGAATAATGCTGATGGCCTCTGTGGGAAACTTGTGTCTGAATGAAGCTTCTGCACGTCACACAACAGACTGCAAATGGTAATGATGTGTGTGCACTGCCAGCATGGCTTAGTCAGGCTGTTGGCACAGGATGCGGAATTTTTTATGGGAAAGAGGTAGATTTGTGCCACTTTGCATCAAGTGTCATGAGGTTACGTAGGCTTGCATTTTCACTGCTGGTGTTTGACACACTGTGGTTGAGTCCTGACTTGTTCAGAGCCAGGACAAGGCTCTTTTCTACAATCTCCTGGCTTATGCTTCTTACCTTTTTTTTCTCTCATTTCTCCTTCCTGCCTGTGATGATGCTCCCCTGGATGCCATCAGTCAAGGTGCAGAAGAGTGACCACCACCACTGCTGGGACCCCTGTGTCAACTACTGTCACACCCACCACCCCGGACACTGCAAGACACCCACTTGGAACCAGACATCTGGACAGGATTACTGCAAATGTAACCTCCCCACATGGTGTTGTACCAATCCTGCGTGTGTTCATTCATGTTGTGCCCCTCCATTTCCTTAATATCCAGCTCTGTAGCCTGGCTTGTCACTTGTTTCCTCCTTGGTCACTGGGTCCATTTCTGTGGGTCCAGTGCTGTGGGTCCAGCAGTATCTGCAGCTCAGCACACACTGATCTGGTAACTGGAACAAGAGCAGTGTGTCTGGCAGACTCATGTGTCCATCCTCTAACCCCATGCCTGAGTGCCTGGTTTCATATGGCAAAAATGAGTCGCTGTGAGACGGGGAGGGCATCTCCGGTGTTGTGTAGGATTGTGATATGGCAACCAGCTTAGCTCTGGTGCCACACACTTGTTGGCAGCAGGATTATGGCTACCTCAAAGTCTGCAAACCCACCTCTAGCAGGAAGCAGGCTCTGTGCAGCCCCATGTTTCTTGTCTTATGGCAGTAAGAAGGGAAAGAGGAGACATTGCACCTGGTCTTGAGTCCTGAAGCTGGAAAGAAGGAGCTAGTCCGAACCCCTTAGGTGTTTGATGACACTGTTAGGTGAACCCGCTGCTGCACTTCCTGTGCCCATCCCTAACACGCTCTGTATTTCCCCAGCTCTGGTGGCTGCCAACTTCTCGTCTCCCACCATGAATGCGCAGGGCTTCCCTTGCCAGAACTCGAACACACTACCTCGCAGCTCCCACCCCATGAGCCCCCGCACCACCATGCTGAGGAGGAGGCAAAAGAAGAAGGAGCACAAGAGCTCATGTAAGAGTGGCCTTGGGCTGGGGCTGGGTAGGATGGGGTGTGCATGCTGGCCTTGCTGTCCTTGTCAACTGTCAGCTGGGATAGAACTGCTTGTCTCAGCACTGTCAGTGCATCCCTAATCCTCTGTCACTGTCCCACGACTGCCAGACCAAGGTTTGTGACCCAGTCTGTTTTGTTGACTGTGTCTGCCCTGACATTCTGCCTCTCTCCTCCCCTTAGTGTCGCTGGCCTCCAGCACGGTGGGTCCTGGCGGGCAGATAGTCCACACTGAGACAACAGAGGTGGTGCTCAGGGGAGACCCTTTGAATGGCTTCGGACTTCAGCTCCAGGGAGGAATCTTTGCTACCGAAACTCTGTCTTCCCCTCCTCTCGTCCGCTTTATTGAGCCTGACAGCCCGGCAGAGAGGTTAGAGACCTTGCCCTTGGATGCTGATGGTGCTGCTGCTGAACATTTCATGGTTTGGTTTGTTTTCTCTCCTCAGAGGCTCATTTAGATATTTACTATCATCCTTGTAATATCTCCCATTCTTCACTGGGCATGGTTTACTGTCACTGCCATTTCTGCACTCGTCGGCTGACCGTGACCTCCCTCGCATCCCAGGTGAACGTCTTGGCACCAGGCTGCGGCTGGTCTGGGAGGAGGAGGAGAAAGGGAGTGTGTGTCTGTGTGAGAGTGCCATTCCCATTACTTTTTTTCATATATATATATTTTTTATTTTTATTTTATTTTTTTTTTTTTAAATTTCTCTTTGAAAGATAAATCTTTTAGGTAGGTGCGGAAAGAGGAAAGGTCTAAGTAAGTGTCCCCTGCAAAACGTTCTCTGTCTCTGACTGGTTTCATTGTAGCAGAGCCCAGCTATATAAATTGACCTTAAAGCCAAGGCTTTGAACTGTAGAGAGGGTGCTCTGGTTGAGGAGCATGTAGGTGCTACAGTTAAGCACTCTTGCTTTTGGCTCTGTAAAGCTGGGAAAAGAGCAGAAGGGAGGAGCAGCATTAGCTCCATGAGGATACTGGGGAACAGTGACTCTTCCAGTGACAAAGCCTCAGCCCCAGAGTTCCAGCTGCTCTGGCTAAATTTCTCCCTTGCTGGCTGCTCAAGTGCTTATGGGCTACAATGTAGGTATCTTCTAGCAAGGCGTTTGTTACTAAACAGATCAAGTCCTAGCATTGCTTAACCTCTTGTGGAGTGGAAAGGAGAGCTGGTTTCGTTAGGCAGATAAAATAGTGAGAGCTGAGTGAGCTGGCACTTAATGCCCCAGTGCTGGTTTCTCTTACAACCTGTGACTTCCACTGTGGTCTGTCCTGTCTAGGGATGCTGGAGGTGCAGTGACTTGGCAGTGCTCAGCACCTGCTGCAGACCCCTCCTTGGAAGAATTCTCTGATGGCCCCATCAGCATGTGCTGATGGTTTGGTGTCCCCAAGCCTGCCCAGAAAAACAGCATATGGAGAAGTTGTAGAGTTGTGTGGTAGGGAAAGTGTCTGCAAAAGGAAATGTGAGTCCTTGCTGTGCAGACCAGTCTCTGTGTTGTAGCTTCTCCAGGTGGCCAATGCAGAGGCAAGGTGGAACGTGATGGTGGTTTGCCTTTTTTTTTTTTTTTTTTAATCCTCGATTGCCAGGGAGAGTTTGACTCACATTGCAAATTACCAAACTCCTTTTATAAGTTAGGCAGCAACAAAGCCTGCTGTCCTGAGGGATGAGGGAGATGTGCTGAAATCCTCCTGGCTTTGCTTTATCCTCTTGCCAAGCCCAGAGTGAAAACAAAGACTGGCGGTGCAGTCTTGCTTGGCTCCAGTGTGTCACACAGCCTGCCCACCCAGCAGCATTCATGCTCTCCTGGCTGCTGCTTTCTGGTGACCGGAATCAATCCTCTCTGCATTTGCAGACTGGATTTGATTTGGGGATTAAATCTCTGCTATATATTTCATTCTTTCCTAAACCATACTGTTCTTCCTCATTGTCAGGGAAACACTGTCTTTCCTCCCCATCTTGAAGTGATAAGTGCACTGGATTTGCAGTGAAGAGAAAAAGGCAGTTTTATGTTTTCATTTCACTTTCTGTTTCTTGTATTCCACAGAGCTCTTTGCTCCATCATTCAGGATACCTTATCCACTGTTCCTGAGAGGTTCTGCTGCAGCTGCAGCCCAAGACATTAGAGCTATTTTCCTCCCCTTTGCCAAGCTTGGCTCCAGGCTGAGGCTGGCCTGTGCTCTTTCTTGTGCTGCAGTTGTTGCTTTTTGCCAAAAAGGTGAGCTGAGGGGATACAGGCATCAGGCTTAGCAGCCTGGGTCTGACCTGGATGTTCACACACACTCTGCAAAACCTGTGGATCTGAATGTGCTGTTGTACAAGCATGAGATACACACTGGCTTTGTCCATCTGGCTTGTCCACACTGGCTTGCTGTGGAGGAGCTTCCTCTGGGGTGTCCAGCAAGTGTGAGTACTACCAGAGAGGAGCATGGCATCATCCTCTTTTCAAGGAGGTTGGGCTACCCTCACATTTATTATCTGCTTTGTGTTAGCTTGTGGCAGGCAGTTTGAAGCAAAAGCTCTCACCTGCCTGACTTGTGATTTGTTTTACTGCAAATAACTTCTAATAGACCTTCCTCCCCACCTGTTGTTTTGTTTTCTGGGTGCAAGATGAAGCCTTTTTATTCCAAGTGAGACAGTGATTCAGCCCCTGTTATCAGCAAGGAAGGTAGAAGGGGAAGAAGCCTGACAATCCTTCTTGGCTGCCTTGAAGCACACAGCTTTTGTGTCCTTCCTCCCTCAGCTGTCATTGGCAACAGAGGGAGAGTATCTGACTTCTCCATCCTGGTATCCAAAATCAATGCTTCCTGCTGCGTTACATGTTTTCTAGCTCTGCTCAGACAAAGTTGTTTGATCATTGTGTTTCTGGCTTTTGAATGTGAGTAGTTTGCAAAAGCAAAGTTTAGCAGCTGGCTGAAGCTGTCAGCAAAGCTTTGATCCAGTGGGGGTGGGGATCCACTCACCAGTGTGCGGACACAGATGTGGATGTACACACAGGTGTGCACATCTGACCTGTGCAGGCCAACCTGGGGCATTGTAAGGGCATGATGGATCAGTTTGTGCAGCTGGCACTGTGGCCACGGTCACAGCTGCTCCCCCACAGCTGGAGTGACCACGCAGAGTCTGGTGATGCTGAGTGAGCTCTTCAGTGCATATCATGCCTGAGGCTTGAATATGTGCTGCTCTGTATCTAGCGAGGCACCTTCACTGCTCTGTTGCTGCCCAAGAAATGAGTCATGGCAAAATGCAAATCTCTGCAACCCCAAGAAGACATTCCCATCACGGACTCCAACACGTCCATGGGGCTGCCTTTCATTTCAGGAGATGCCTGTAGTCTTGTTCTTTCTGATTTTAAAACACTTCTGCCCCCATAATCTCAAAGCACTTTTTATACTGTGATGTCAGACTGAGCATCTCTCAGACAAATGCCTTCTCTCTGGGAAAACTGTCCAAAGATTCTTGTAGGATCCAATGCCAGAACTAAGGAGAGCTCTTCAAGACCCTTGACTCCCCAGGCTCTGCTCCCAGTGCAAGGGCACATGACAGCTGGAAACCTGTGTCTCCAGTATGATTCTGAAGGGTTAATAAGGCACGTCAGGCCTCCTTGCACTTGTAGAAGGAGCCAGAAGGTTGTGGCTTCACTCCACAAACTTTTATAAACCTGCAAGACCAGGACTTAATCAACTGTGACTGACTGAGGCTAATAGTAAAAGGAATAAAATGCTTCTGACCTAACAGAGCTGTTGGCTGTAAAACACCCAGGCGAATCTACACTGAGTGAAGAAACACAAGAAACAGTTGTTTTGTGAGAAGGCAACTCTGGTGGGAAAAGTGGCAAAGGTTTGCTTTTATGCAGTGTAAAAGTATCCTGTGAGCTCCCAGCCTTTGTGGCTGAAACAGTGGTGCTAAAATGGATTATGTCCTTGTGTGACCTTGAGATGACAGTGATGTCTGAGTGATGCAGCTGTTGATCCCTCCTTTGCAAAAGGTACACTGGGGCCATAGCGAGAGAGCTCTTGGTGGCAGAGGAGTCATCTCTGTTATACTCTGTGCCATCTCGATATTCATAAGCTGATATTTCTAAGTGCATGTGTGTGTCTGCATAGCCACAAGTCCAGTAAAGGACTGTAATTAAACTTGATGTAATTTATTCACAAGGGTGGATTCATTTGTACATCATGGAGTTGTCTGTTCTAATCCAAGTCTCCTTGAACAAACAGTTCTGAATTTACATCTCATGAAATAGCTGTCATTTTTCCATGGATGCCATGAACTCAGGCAGCAGTGTAAATATACTGCAAGTTTAATACCTTCCTTAACAATAAAATAACCTCCCTAGGCTCTCTCCAAACTTGTTCATATCTCAACTTTTGATGGGCCACCGGCACAAACTGTTGTGCTTGCTCATTTTTCTTGAATTTGGGTGTGTGTACTTTTTCTTGGTGACTTAGCCTTTCATTCACATCCTGTTGTTTGGAGATGAATAATATGGTCAGTGTCCACTGCCTTTGATGTTCTCTTTGTGTGCCTGGAAGCTGTGGTACTGTGTTTTCTTACAATTGAATTGGGTGTGAGTGATGCAGAGTGGCTGGAAGGTTTAGTGAAAAACAAGCTGTCTTCTGTGAGGTATCAGTGGAAGGAAGGAGAAGGCAAAGGATGTGTTTGATCATTATACAGGAGGGGAATAAAGGTTCTCTGGAAAAGGCTCAAAACAAAACGACTGATGTCTTCTGGAAAACATTTGTGGTAAAGTAACTCCAGATGTTGAGGTGAACCTTAGATTTGATGCCATAACCCTCAGCCCATTTTGGAGACCACTCTGTAGTTTCCATTAATGGTGGGTTTGGTTTCCCAAGCTCTGCTCAAGTGGACAGCCTTATAGATATGTGATGAGTGGAAATTTTGAAAAGATGTTGCAGCAAACAACTGATAGAGGAGAAGGAAGATGAGAAGATGAGTAATTTCTCAAGGCCAGTCACAGGGAACACGGCAGTCTTGATTTTGCAGAGCCATGGGCCAGCTCAGGTGAGCTGTGGGAGATAACCTGGAGGATCATCATGCTGGTGTTGCAGTATATTTAAAAAAAAAAAAAAAAGAGGAGCATGTGTGGATAGTGACTGTAGGAATGTGGTGTTTCATGTGTGAAAAAACCCTTGCTTATAAAGATGGGTCCCAAGAGACAAACCGTGCTGTAGCAGTACATCCCTAACACAGCCTTGTCATCACGTTCTTCTTCCAAAGTAAAAAACCTGCTGATCCCTATTTCTGGAGAAAGTGGGTCTAAACTATAAGCCCCAAAGGGTTAGTTGTGGTTATATTGTCAGGCTGTCACATGGGAATAATATTGGCCTTTCAAGGCAGTTAAACAGTATCAGTGTACATTTGGCTTCCAGAAATGCAATTAGGAGGGATAAATGATTATCCAATTTGCTGAGACATTTTGGTGAGTTTATTGGATTGTAGCTTCAGTATTCACCATGCATTAGGCAGAGGAATCTGTGCAATTTTCCGTGCTGTTAGTTTGTGTTCCAGAGGATGCAGGTGCATGGGAAAAGCCATGTACGGTTGGATTGCATTTATCACTCTCATCTCTCAGCCATGGTGTTGACTTTTAGGAAGATGAGGGTTACTTCTTTTTTCCCCCCTGACTGTTGCAGGAAATGTGACCAGAAACGGTTATTTAGGACCAAAGCATGTCTGAACTTTAGAAAACCAAGAGGCTTTGCTTCCTTGTGCCCTTCCAGGAACACTGGGACAGGCATTGCAAAATGAGTTATTTTCTCTTTGGGACCACTTCTGCAGGATTTGTCACTACCTTGTCTGTCTTGTAATAGATTTGCCTGGTAAAAGTAACTCATGTCTGGTTGTGGGATTGTTTTTTTCTTCCTTTCCTCTTTCTCTTTGCCTCCGTGTTCCCATTCCCTCTTTTCCCGCTGTGAACTGCAGGTGTGGGCTGCTGCAGGTAGGAGACAGAGTCCTTTCTATCAACGGCATCGCGACTGAGGACGGGACCATGGAGGAGGCCAACCAGCTCCTGCGGGATGCCGCCCTCACCAACAAAGTGGTGCTCGAGATCGAATTCGACGTTGCAGGTGTGTTGCCAAAGGAATTGCTGCTCACAACTACCAGCAGGACTCTTCTAGTGCCTTTGCTGACCAGTAGGAGGGACTGTATTCACACAAATACATGAGGTTTCTGCTAGAGCTCAGAGGGAAGAGTGAGAAGCCCTGTGAGGACCCTTCCCATTTCCTCTTGTTCTCTGATGTATACCAAGATGGAGGGTTATTCTTCTGATCCTTTCATAAATGTTTTGCCCTCACCACTTGGCTGAGATAAGCGTAAGGAGTAGATGAAGAGGACACCTGCACTTTAAATATTTGCCAATTAATATGAATAATATTTATATTAATTTATGACCTTGAAGCCAGGAGGGACGCAAAGCTAATGGCTGGGGGTAAAGTGCAGCTTTGTATTAAAAAAAAAAAAAAAGAAAGTTTTAAAGTTTTTTTTCTTTTACGTTGACAGAGATGCTTCAATCTCGAAATACATCATGATGTGAGCACTTCACTTGATGTTCAGAGCATGTATTTTTAATGAGAATCCAAATTTCAAACTAAAGTCCACAGGGCCTCAGATAACCTTATGTGAACCAACAGAGCTGAGCTTTACAGGCTTGTTTTCTTGGTTCTGAAGAAGCTATCCATGCAACTGAAAACTCTCTTTTTTCTCCTTTTTTCTTTTCTTATCTGTTTTTTGGTTTTATAGAGTCTGTCATACCCAGCAGCGGTACTTTCCACGTTAAATTGCCCAAGAAAAGAGGTGTGGAGCTTGGAATTACAATCAGCTGTAAGTATTGCTCAGTCTTGCAATGATGTTTCAAGAGCTGACTTGCTTCCCACCCTGGTACATCAGAGGGCTCCAATGGAGAGAGATAAGATTATGTGGAGTTTCTGTAGCCCTCTCAGTGCTCGTGATTTATCCCAAACTGAATCAGATGTGTGGTTCCTGCCTCCATGAGCTGGTGGCTGCAGAGAAAAGTAGCTGCCTGAAGGGTTGGGGCAAAGGATGTGTGTCAATGGATCAGCTGATCTGTGTTGCAGACTAATATTATATTATTAGTAATATTATTTTTATTTCCTTGCTCACAGTTGTATCATGTTCTTTTTAAAAAAGAATTGCCTGCATACAGTGGGACCTTTGCAGGGAGAGGTGGAGGAGGAGAGCAAGTGAGAGGTGAACCCACAGCTTGAAGGGTGAAGAGGGGAAACTGCCAGGAGGGGGAGGAGAAGGAGCATGAAGAGAACGATGTGCCTTAGAGGTGGGGAGAAGGCACTTTAAGGACAGGAGGGTGCTGGGCAGGGTTTGCCAGGAATTGTTGCATCGAGTAATTCCAGCCACTGAGGAGGAGATCCATGTGCCAGGACTTGGTGTGCACTGAGAGAATGCATCATAAACATTTTTCTTTCTTTTCTCTCTTCTTTTCTTACCCTTGATTAACTATCTTTGTTTCTCCTCTGAGGATAGATTTTCATTTATAGACATTTTGGCCTCTTTGGAGAGGATGCTGTAGGGGAATGATATAGGCAGATCTATCCCAAATTTCTAGCTGTCTTGGGGTCTTGTTATGCCTCACATCAGTGAATTTTTCCTTTATGGCAAATGCAAGAAGGTCTCAAGTCTTTCATCCCTCTTTCACTGCTCAGGGTAAACAGAGTTGAATCATCTCAGATTTGCCATGCCCAGGACTGCCACGATCTCCCATCTGAAACAGAGCAGCTTGTGAGACTGCAGTAATGGGATCTCGTGTCTGAGCCCTCAGTAGCAGGGACCCAGCTGTGTCTGGAGAAGGGAGTCGCAAGGGACACTTTAAAACTAGATTTCATTAAAATAGATAAGCTATTTGTAATTACCTCTTGACATTTACAGCATTAGTTACCAAGTTAATTGGAGGTGTTCTGGTCGAAGTGGGACAATTCTCAGGAGTGACTTGAACATCAACAGGATGATGGCTTTGTAGCCTGTAATATTTCTTCTCCCTCTTCTCTACTTCCCCTATTTGTGCCATGAGGAAAATCCTGAGAAATAACAGCGCAGTATTTAACATTTGGCTTGGTAGCAATTACTGTCTGAAGACATCAAAGTGCTTTCTGAAAGCAGCAGGGTGTCCATAGTGGCATTTCACTGGTGGGGGAGCAGGGAACAGTGAGTGCAGCCTGTGCTGGGTTCCAACCTGCTGCCCTGCCCACTGCTTTGGCATTCCAGTCTCTGGTAGCAACCTAGGACAATGGATCTGGTAGCAAAAAACTTCTGGCTTGTGCAAGGCCAGGATTTTAGCCCTTTCAAGTGTCAAAGTTTAGTTTGTGTCTGAAGCTGGAGATATAGATTTGCCTGGGAGTTGCTTGGAAGAATTAGTTTTTATTTGTGAAGTCTGTCTTGAATGGGATCTGCTTCAGATGTGCATTTACACTTCAAACATATTTTTATGTTGAAAAGGTTTTCATTTGAAATTTGTTTAAAATACTGATTTCATACACTTTTTTGAAATCACCACTAATAAAAAGAAACTGACCCCTGGGTTTTAAATAGATGCTCATTATCCAACTACAAAGCAGTTTTTTGACACTATAAAAGATTTGATCTTTTGATTGTTGAACATGTTTGCAGGACATTGTTCAAGTTAATACATACACATAAACTTAAAGTACATTTCAGTCCTTTGTTGAGTCAAAGCTAAAATTATATTTACAAATGGAGCAAAAGACAGGCACCCAGAAAATGCAGTGGCAAGGATGAAATGCTAGCTGAATCCTAATTCTGTTTTCATACATTAGTCTGTCTAAGCCTATGTCCACATCATTCTTAGCAAATCAGATCATCATTTTGTCACTCTGCCTCTGACCAGGCAGATAAATATACCAGTTTCAAATATTAAAACCAAAGCAAGCAGCTTTATTGAAAGTACCTCCTGCAGAGACATGATGTGCATGCAGGAGTGTGATGCAAGCAGAAAAAGAAAAGATGTAAAAATAACTCTTCTCTGTTTTCCTCAGTTCCTTTCCTCCCAGTTCTGCTGATTTGAATGCTTGTGTAGATCTAGAAACAGCTTTTACAGCTTTCCTTCTGGTATGGAAAAGTATATCACAACTGTTTTAAAGTAGGGGACTTGGTTTACTGGCCTCTTACACTGGATTTATGTTCCCTACTTGGTAAAACTGGGGCAGCTTAAGTAGATGACAAGGTGGAGGGGTCAGTAAAAGACCCTCTGCACCGTTGTGGCCAGAGAATTGGGTTCATTCATAACCTTTGTGGTCTGGCTGTGCTGCAGATGTAAGATGAGTTGCTTTCCTTGAGTTTTACCTCTGGGCTTCGGCTGGCTCATCTGTAGTTAATTCCTCTGCCTAGGAAGGTTTGCCTCTGCCTTCTTGCACAGGCAGAAAGTGTTACGACCTCATCAGAGGAGCACTATAGAAATAAATGTGATCAAGTTCTTGCTGTGCTGTGGCTCTCAGAGCTAATTTGGAGATGGACTAAGTAAAGGGGGGGAGAAGAGCAGGATTCATGATGGATGTGTTGGAAGAATTCATGTAATGGAGCTGACTGTAGGAGGAACCATAAATCTGCTGGAAATGCTCATAAAAGGGCTGAAAATCCAGGAGGTTTGTGCATGAGGAGGGCAGACGCTGCTGGTTCTGGGATGAATGCACAAGAGCACTTGCTCCTGGTAGGGGCAGATGTTTGCTGAGGGCATTTCATCTTCTCAGAGGTCTCAGGGTTTTCCAGAAAGAGAAGGCTTGGGCTGGGTGTGTCTCAGTGGTGGTCTATGAGCATGGATGGTTTTCTTCCCCCCACTCACATTGTGGCAAAGGAATGCAGCAAATCAAGGTGTGAGATGCAAGTATATGAAAATTTCCCCTTCCATTCCCCTAAGGATGAATAGAAAATTTAGAAGCTTTTTACTTTGAGAGCTGTGCAGACTCTGAAACTCAGTTGTTTGCAGGGACCTCTGAGGCTCTGAATGGTGAGGATGCAAAGATGTGCGAAAACTGAGAGTTTTGACACAAGGATGTGAAGATTTGACTCCTATTAGCCTGAACTACCATCTCCATTTGCAGAACACATGCCTCAATTGCTCTCATCTTGCTGGCTGCATTTAGCTCTAATGATGCTGTTATGCCTTTGTAGGTTTTCTGTAAATCTCTTACAAATTAAAATCTCCAACAGTGAGAAGCTAATAGTCATGTATTCTTTTTTGTTCAATACCTAACCTCTTACAATAAGATATGGATTTGTTATTAGCTGCTGCAAAATGATAGTTGATTACACAAAAGATTGCTATTTGTGTTGAGAGGCTATTTTTTTTTTCCTGTCTCAAATATCTTCTCCAAGGGCTAGTTGTGACATTCACCATAGGGTACAGGTGTGTTGATGTTGCTGTTTAAAGAGATACTGAAATTACCATTCGTTTTAGATATGCATTAATGCTTTATATAGCATATTTATCAAATTGCCTTTCTATATCTTAACAAATCAATTCCTGTGCCCTTGGTGTGAAGTACTGCAGATAAGGAGGAGGCAGTATATCTGCTTGCAGGTGATAAAACCGGAATTTGGGTAGATAGATAACTTCGATTAAGTCGCTTAAGCAGTGTAATCGCTGTCCTAGTAAGAAGATGGATTTGTGAGCTGAGCAAATCTAGTTTTGCTGGTGCTGGATTAGCCTGTGCCCTGCCACCAGCCCGGCAGAGCGTGTCCACAAGCGGCAGCGAGCCTGGCACCGCCTGTCCTACCCCTCGCTCACACAGCAGCTTCAGCTGAGATTTGCAGCTGATTGACTCTGGTGCTTTTGTCCAAGTGGGATATTCTGATCTGGTTTTGCTACCTGGAAATTGGGAAAGGAAGTAGATCTGTGATGGGGCAGACATCCTGCTGGAGGCACTGATAATTTATGCACCTGCTGCTAAACTTAATGAATGGTAGAGGAAAAAGTTTAGTACTGAGAATTTGATTTTCATTGCGGCTTTTTGTAATCAATTCTGATTTGTTTTTTTCCTCTTTTAATCCCTTAACTGTCTTGAGATTATTTGGTTTCTGATTTTGTTTGTTATTTCCAATTTAAGAACGCTTTCTCGTTTGAAAGCTTCTTACGGCAGTATTGCAATTTCTTTAATTACACACTGGCAGAGTGTTGCTTTGGCTTGGTCAATAACGAAGGGCATTTATACTGGGTTGATGCCTGTGAAATATGTGCTCATGCTCCTTGTAGGGAGTAATTTACCAATACAAGTCATTATGCATTCTATTAAAAACACAAACCGGACATGTGTTCCTGGCCTCGTCATCCATCACAGTGTAAACACTGAGCAAGCCAGAATCCCAGCAGAGGTGGCGAGAGACTGAAAGCAATTTATAAAAAGTAAATAACAGTATTGATCAATTCACCTTTTTATCACTGGCCTGTCACCACCGCCAAGCAGTGTTTTTGTTTTGAGTTTCTCCCCCACCAGGCACTTCTACCTTCAACAGCTGTTGATTTATGGAGCTTTCTCTGGGCCACTGGAGCAGTTTTAAACTTATCTTTTGTACTGGTAAACCCACCAAAAATACAAATGTATCTGAAAAAGAGTCTGTTTCCACCTGAAGGAGTTTGCCCTGGCAGGTGGAGGCCACAACCAGAATGCCTGCTGAGAGCATGCGTGGGTTTCAGCACACCAGCTCCTGCATTTGTGCCTCGATCCATCTCTTCTCTAGACTTTCTTTGCTGCCATGTCCATTTCACACACAGGAAAGCAAGACCCAGAGGCAAGGCTGGGTGTCCAAACCATGTCTTCCTGCAGCAGTTACTGAGGCAATGTCCTTTGAAGGGAAATAACCACATTAACAGCAGAAATGAATGGATAAAGAGGCTTTACTCTTCTGTGCAAGTGTCTTTATGCCAAAGACCATAGCCCTAATAAAATTGTAATGTAGTTTAAGTGGTGTTTTTTTAATTGCAGGCAAATTGGAAATGGTTTATCCAAAATCTCACCAAGCATCTGTGTGTCTAATGGCTCTGACCCAGACTGAGCTACCACTTCAGTGAAATTGCAGATCCCTCTCCTTTAGACAGACAGCTGTTACACAGAGTGACATTGTCACCCTGTATGAATGGCCCAGGATAGTTAAAATTGTGGGTCCCAGGAGTGGTAAGAGCACCCTGGTCCCAGCAGATGGGCAGAGAACCCATCTGTGCTCTCTGCTGGAGCGCCAGGAAGAGCTTTGGAGTGCTAAAGGTGAATTAATGGAGTTAGTGACTACTAATTTTTAGAATGAATAGGAAATGACTGTTTTGTGCTATGAGATTTCATTATCTTAACTTTGTATCTTATACCTCTTGAGACAACATAGTTATTCATTAGGTCTCCCTTCAGTTTTGATGGTCTTTGCATTTTACAGTAGGTGATTATGTAATGTGATGATGCCCCACGCCCGGAAGTGTTCAAGGACAGTTTTGATGGGGCTCTGAGCAACCTGGTCTAGCGGAAGGTGTCTCTGCCCATGGCAGGATATTGTAATGAGATGATCTTTAAGGTCCCTCCCAACCCAAGCCATTTTATGATGATTCCATGATGACTATTTAAAACAGAGGGCTGCCATTTATTAAAGTTTGGGTGCTCTGTTGGTAGGGACAGTTGTATGCAGTGGCTCTTCCATTTAACTGAGGTCTTAAGAAAATCGATTTTGAGAGCAAAAATTGAAAAAAATTCCACAAACAAAACCCAGAATGATTTTTCCTTAAAATTTGCTTTGTTTCCAAACGGACAAAGTACGTGGTTTGTTACCCATGCTTCTAATATGGGAAGCTTTTGTTGTGCTCAGTGCTGACTCCAGTTTTGGAGCTGCAGAAGGACAAGGTCTTGTTCTCTGCTCAGGGACTGACTGCAGGCAGGATTTCTCCACGTGTCTCAAAGCTTGCGAGGCAGACACTGAGGTAAACCTAATTTCTGCAGAGCTTGAGTCATGCTGTTGTCTATGCTTTCTTTCTTTTTTTTTTTTTTTTTTTAAATTCTTTTTCTCCCTCTTTTTGAGTGCTCATGGTCTCTGGACATGTTGTTCCAGCTGTGGCTGTGCCAGGTTAGAGATGGCCATCCCCAATCTGCCACCAGGACTGTGGAGATCCTCCCTAACCCCTTTCTGTCACACTGCCTCTTGCTTTGAAACTAGTAAACAAACCTTGCAGGGAAAAGTATTTTTGCTAACCTGGATCGTTTTGACAGAACCAGACTAGGGAGTGATTAAACATGCAGCAATGCCAGCCTGACCCAGGGCTCAGGGTGTGCTCACAAGGTCTCCCCTCACCACTGCTCAGACCACCACATTGTACACCTCTGTCAACAGCAAATACATCTCCTATACTGAAAAAGAGAACAACAATAGTTATTACAACAGTAATTATCAGGGTGATACATCTCCATCCCCTGTGCTGTTAGTCCATGGTGTGTGGTCTTCCCAGTCAGCATGTGGATTTCTGCACCCCCTCCTTCCTTCCCAGTGTTCAGCTCTGCCCAGTGTGTGTTGTTCCATCTGCAGTCTGGTCTGTGTTGTGGAGAGGTGGAATACAGGCACAAGCCCTCAGTGAATCTTCTTTTCTATCCACATCCAGAACCTGAACATGAGTATCCTGTCCAAAACTGTCTGGCACCACACTCCAGTAAAACACGAGGAAAATGATTCCTCCAGGCTCTGTACCATTCAGCAGTCACATTGCTGGGACTATTATAAAATCAGTCACGGTCTGCTCTTCGCTGTCTGACCTCACTTTGATACTCAGCCCTGCCACATCTCAGATTGGCTGTCTTTTTGCTCTGTTCAGTACAGAAGGAAAGGTGTTCAGTACAGAAGGTTTAGCTATTTCTGGGAGAGGGTATCCTTAAAGGTGTTGGGTTAGCACATTTGTTTTTAAATCTCATGATTGAATGTAAACAACAGAAAAATCTAGAGCACAGAGGTTGGTAAGCACTTATTATGTCTGACTTTCTGAGTGCTCTCTAACTGCTGTTCAGGCAGGTGGATCTCCGTGTAGTTGGTGCCACGTGCCTCACAGATATTTTAATCTCTGACCTGCACCTGATGTGTTCAGATCCTGTGAGTTTCTTCCTTCCCACACAGTTTTTGTGAGAAGCTCTGTCAGCTTTAAATGAGGCAATGCAATTCCCATAGCAAGGCAGGAGGGAGTGATGCGGGGTGGAAAGGATGCTCTTGGTGTATGTTTGGTGTGTGGATGACAAAGAGGTCGGGAGGGGTTCGAGTCATAAATCTCTCTTGGGTTTCTCGGGAGTGCAGCAGGTCTCGCAGGCATATTTCAAAATGCAAATGCTCCCAGAGATGCACACTCACATCTCTTGTGGGCTGAAAAAGTTATCAGGGTCAGGCAGGAGAGAAGAGTTGGAAACCACCCCCTCCAGCTCCAACACAGACCAGCCCGGTTTCATCCGGTTGTATGATAAAATGGCTTGGGGAGATGAACCAACTGGAAAACAGTGCTGTATCTAATTTTTTCTGGGTTATTTTCTACCTGATAAATGTTCCAGCCCACTTCAAGAATACAGAAATGCTTGTAATTAAGCACAGCACTGTGCTGGGTGCTCTCTGGGCAGCAATGCTAATGTTTGACTGCTGCCACAGCCATTGGCTCACTTGTCTTGTGCCTGAGGTGTAGGTGACTAACTATTTGACAGTGCTGGGATTGGGCAGTGCCACCTCTTGCTGCTGGACACCCCATGTCCTTCCCTTCACAAGGAGTGCAAAGAAAACTAACATGGGCAAAGTGCAACCAAACAACTTTTGCAGGAATTTACTACTTCCCCCCCACCCCCCGGTGTGGCTTCCAGAGTTTAAGCGTGAAGCATTGTTTGGTGAAGGGGATATAAATCGTCTCTCCTTACATCTCCTTCTCCCCTTTAACTATTCTCGTCCTGAACTCTATGCCAAGCTTTGTGCCCATGTGTCTCTCTTGCAGCTGCAAGCAGAAAGCCTGGGGATCCTCTGATCATCTCTGACATCAAGAAGGGGAGCGTCGCACACAGGTGAGAGCAGAATTTGCCAAACCCACTGCAAAATGTCCATCCATGATAGGTAGAATTCTACCACAGAAGTAGAATGAAGCCCAAGCTTGGGTCTGGATTCTGCCAGCATCCAGGGAAATCTCAACCCTAGAGATTTGTTTTAGACCACAGTAGGGTTTACAGTAAAACTGTACTGAAGCAAGTAGAGTTGAGCTAATAGGCCAGGGCCAGGGCACTGGTTCAGATGTCTGCTGATTCTCTAGGAGATGGATTTTTAGCATTTAAGAGCATGTGGTAATGGGCTTCATATATCCCATGGAGTGCTATGGCTCATCAGGTAGTTTGCCATGTCTCAGCTCCTGCTCAGGTGAACAGAATGAGTGAATTATGGGCACTGGTGGAGAACCGTGCAAATAACTCAGCATTTATTGACTTCACCTCTGATCCCAACACCTCATAGCAAGGCTTTCAGCAGAATTTAGTGCAGTGCGGGGCTCAATTCTGAGAGTGCTCACACAGGAGTTTCTGTAAGAGGTAGAATATCTATCAGTTAAACAACAGGCATTTTCAGTGCTGTAGGTTACCCAGGATGTATATCTAATCTTCCTGCCCGGTTCTGTGTTGATACATGCTCTACACAAACTTCCTCTCTTTAAATTACATTTGTCCCAGACTCAGTTCATGGTTGTTTCCTAGAAAAGACTAAGGATAGTTAAAAGTTAATTTTGTAATTTCCACTGCAGAACTAAATGTGTCGTGGGATCTGAAAGGCAAATACAAATGTACTTTTACTTTTCTCTTCCTCTCCATGTAGAACTGGCACCTTGGAGCCGGGAGACAAGCTGTTAGCCATTGATAACATCCGACTCGACAATTGCTCAATGGAGGATGCTGTGCAGATTTTAAGGCAGTGTGAAGACCTGGTCAAATTGAAGATTAGGAAGGATGAAGATAACTCTGGTACAGAAATCCTGATGCAAAATGGTGCCAGTCCACTGTAATGACATTCCCAATAGGTAGTGCAAACTAACAAAGATAAGGACTGCTGCTGTCCGGTCACCACTTTCCAATTGATTAGAGTCTATTTTTGTTATTCTGCCCTTAAATGATGTCTGGAAGGTTAAAATCCTATTTGGTATGAGCATGGCTGAAGACTTTCAGCTTTTGCTTCTAAATGCTGCAAGTCTCTCCTCTGACTACCTTCATGTGGCAGACTAAACAAGTTCAGAGTTCCTGTTTTCTCTTTCAGATGAGCAGGAGACAACTGGTGCCATTATCTACACAGTGGAGCTGAAGCGCTACGGCGGCCCCTTGGGAATAACCATCTCTGGGACGGAGGAACCTTTTGATCCCATTGTCATTTCGGGCTTGACTAAACGAGGGCTGGCAGAGAGGTGAGGTTTGGGAGCAGAGTGGCTGAATCGATTTGAGAAGGGGTCTTGAACCGAGCCAAGTCTCCCATGCTGTCATAAACTTTTCTTTGGTGTTTCAGCCTGCTGAGAAGGAAAGGTGCTCTGAGGGTGCCATGTGATATGAAGCAGGGTGGTTGGGGCTGTGCTGTTGGGGCAATGGGAGAGGTTCAAAGCAGGGCACTTCAGGAAAGGTCAGATCCAGTGAGTCAGTTGAATTCTGCAGCCAGGAATACATATTCATCTGCCCCTCTTCCACAGAGGTGCTTCCTGGTCTGGGATTTGCCATACACACCTTATGTCAGGAGCGTGCCCAGCCTGCCCATGAAATCACCACAGACTCTGTCCAGGTGTTGCTAAACTGTGGTTTATGGCCATTGCAGTGGTGAGTCCTGACCTGTCCTTGCTGATTGCTTAGTCTGCTACATGGGAGGTATCTCAGTGCAGGGCTGGTGTGCCCAAGCACCATGAATTTATACTGCATGAACTTAGGAGCAGATTTACCTTCGGTCACCAGGGAGGACTGTGTGTGTGCCTGTGTCTGAATATATGTGCCTGCGTGGGATTTAAAGGATCAGGACATTCCTGAGAGTATAAGGTGGAACTGAGTCATACTCTGTATCTTAATTAATCTGTCTGTATGGTAGCTGTGACTTGTAAATGGATCATTTCAGCAGCCCTGACTCATGCTTCTCTAAGGGTCTCTTTACTTTTTGCTGCCTGACAGGCAGAACGGCAGCAAAAAACCCCAGAACAAACAGGTGTAAAGTGCAAAACCTTGGAGAGGTTTGACTGCAGATCTCGCCTTTTGGTTCCTGCTGTTTCAAGGCCATGCTCCCTCTTAGCTGGACTGTGAAACAGCTCAGTGCCTCTTTGTGTGTTGGGTTCTCAGAGCTCTCTGCACACTGCTGTGCCTTTCCATTGCTTCCCTTTGGTGCAGAATGCAGAATGTCTGTGTCTCCTGGGAAGAAAGAGAGATGGACTTAGTCATTAGTGATTCTTTTCTCTGGGGATTTTATATTACTGCCAGCCACTGTAGGATTCAGTCTTTTTCCCTATGAAATAATAGCTGCAGAGTATCTGAGGCTTTTCTGCATGGCAGTTCTGCACTGTACCTGCAGCCCAGCATGAGAGAGGTTAAGGACAGCCAGCTCAAACACTGTCAGAAGACAGTCTCGTACCCTTGTTGATCTCATTTCCCTTTGCAATTCCATGGCTGTTCCTCCTTCAAACTCAGATACACATCGGTGACGGCTCCGTGCAGAAATGTTGTGCAGGCAAGTGCTGCGGTGCTACTGAATTTTGATCAGGAGTGGGCAGGCACTGAGGAATGAAAAACCTTGTGAGAAGAGTGCTGGAGCTGTTCAGCGTGTTCACCGTGGCTGACCAGCAAACAGCAGAGCCTGTGCACAGGAGTGACCTGGGCTCGGGGCAGCACAGGGATGTCTCTGGGTAACGTTGACTCCCTGCAGGGAGGGTGAGGAGCTCTGGGATGAAGGCTGACTGAGGGAAAGGTGCAATTTTTTCTCCTGCGAGTAACAGAAGGGAGTGACTTGACCTTGTCAAGGGAAGAGGGGTGCTCCTAATTGTCACATATATGACCCTAAATTGTCCCTCTCCTGACATCACTACCTTTCTCTGTGCCACAGGCACCCTTAGCCAGGCTTTGAAGGGTGGGAGAGGTTTCTGAAGGACAGAGAGCTGGAGTGCAGGACATGTTTCGGCAGCACTGACACAGGGTGGACCAGATCCCAGCATCTGATAACGGGAATGCACTGATTCTTGTAGAGGCACAAGTGAAGGTTTTTGCTGTGGCTCGGGCTGCTGGCAATGGGGAAGGCAAGGTGTCCTCTAGGATCTGTCACATGCATGATACAGTGGGTGACAGGCTGCCTAAGTCTACAGATTCAAATGACTTAGGTTTTATCTTGACCTTGAACATTTTTCTCTTTATAAGTGTCTGATCTTACAGAAACCTACAAAGGCAGCTCAGGCTGTTGGATTGGTGTTGAGCTGTGTCTCTCTCCCGTGTTATTCTCTGTTTCCCCTCCTTCAGTGCCTGCAGGTGGCTTAAGCCTGTGCCATGGGACTTGTTTTCCTTCTTCTTGAGGAAAAGAGGGTGCCTAAACAATGTTGTTCAATTCTGGTCAAGGTGTAATGGTTCTCCAAGAGTAATTTTGGGCTATCTCTGACATTTTAAGGTGCCTGACCGGCTTCCTTTAGTACCTCCTACTCAAGTAGATGAGGGTGGAAGCAGGGGAGGTTGGTCCAGGAGTGTCCAGCACCAACCCATGTTGGCAGGGAGGAAAAGGGATGGTAGCCCTGCCTGTGTGCCCATGTGCCACATAAACCCCTAGCACATGCACACAGCCACCTCTTCTCCAGTGCTTTCTGGGAAGTGCTTGCAGCCCCTTTTACACCTTTCCACTTACCTGTTGCTTGGTTCTACTCTTGCACGTGCCCTCTGAGCAAGGAGGGATGTATAGCAGACACTGCCTCGGGCTGCTTTGTGTTTGAGGTGAAATAAGGACTGTTGGTAGTGATGGAGAGGCACAAGGGTCATTAGGTAGAAACTGCTCTCTCTGTTGCTCCTGCTCAGCTTCTGTCTGCTTGTCCTTTCAGGGGGGCTGAGGGAACTGGGCTTTGATTTGCTTTCTCCCCCTTGAAGAAAAACAAGGTCAGAACATGACCTTTCTCTTTAATTGTTTCTGTATTTTTCCCTGCTGAGGGACTTTCACAGTTACTGCAGAGCAGTCATGTTGCTCAGAGGCGGGTGGTTGGGCTGGTGTCTTGGATAGGAGCGGTGTTCCGGTGCCGGGTTCAGGGATACAGCAGGAGATCCTCGAATGCTGAAGCACTGCAGTGAGTGAAGGATCGACTGCTGGATAAACTGCCAGCAGTTTAGCTTGATTTTTTTGACTATGTAGATGAAACTTTTAAGACATATACTTTGGTTCCAGTTTGATCTATAATTTATTTGAATGTGCAAGTTTTCCCTCTTCAAACTCTTCCAGGCTGATTTGGGTGGGACAAGACGGACATCTAGTGGCTGGTAGGACGATCATGGCACTGCTCGAATACCCCAGGAGCAGCAGAAGCAGAGCCTGAGCAGTCCTGCCTGCTGTTTGGCTGCTATTTTGGGAAAAGCCAAGCAGCTGTTTTGCCTGCAACAACATATCAAATTCCAGTTCTGCAGGAGCAGCAGCCCAATTCGGGGATGTAACCTGAGGGAGGCACGTTGTAGTGGACAAAAAGATATTGCAGTGTAGATTTGCATCTCCTCCTGGCTCCATCACACAGGTTCCTGATAGCAGAACCTCACGCTCTGCTGCAGGAGATGGTTGCTGCTCTCTTGTGCTGGCGTTAGGGAGCTGCAATGTGAGTGTGGTGAGCTTGGTCCAGTCAGGGGTGAGCATGAGCTCCAGCCTTGGCAACCAGCTCTAGTGATGAACACATCCTGCCCCACCCGCTCTTCCTGGAGCTGCAGCAACACCAGGAGAGGTAAATTGAGTCCCTGTCTGCAAGCAGACACAGAGGGGAAGGATGGAGGAGAAGGGAGAGAGTTGCTGTGACTTGTTTGCTTGCTCCTGGCTGTTGCTGAAACCCAAGGATTTACCTATCTGAGAGCAATAACCAGTGCTGGAATGTGGCTGTGCAATGTAGTGCAACAACCTCTTCCAGAGCTGATGGAGAAAGTCACAGGAGCGTAGATGTGAACTTTACAGATGTCCCAAACTGCAACTGGTTCAGCTCAAGCTCGCAGCTGTAATCTCTGTGTTGAGCCGTTTTGGTTTTGTTTTTCTCTTCAATAGGTTTCCAGGTTTGTCCCATAGTTTCTTTCTGTCAAGGTGAACATGCCCTTCAGTTCCATATGTGATGACGGGTGGACACCCCACACTGGAAGTGCTTGTGCTTTTAACCATGTTGCTTTGAAGAGTTTTGACTGTAAACTGACCTGCAGTTCCAGTCCCTGAGAGGCCTGGGATTTTGTTGAATTGTGTTCCCCTGTGTATTTGTATGTATATACACATGGAAGATGGGGAGGACCCAGATTCCTGGTGATGATGTATACATCTGTAGGTGTATACAGTGTACCAAGAGAAAACAAGGACATATTTGAAAATGCTGAGAGTTAACATGCTCTTGCTTCAAGTGACAACCAAATATCCTGTCTCACAGAGGCGAATTACTTCTCTGGAGTTTCTGACAGTGCCTTTTCTCTCCAGAACTGGAGCCATCCACATCGGCGACCGGATATTGGCGATCAATAACGTGAGCCTGAAGGGCAAACCGCTGAGCGAGGCCATTCACCTGCTGCAGATGGCAGGAGAGACGGTCACCCTGAAGATCAAGAAGCAGACAGAGAGTGAGTTGGGGAGCCTGGTTAGGGGTGGGAGGGCAAAGGCACGCCCCACCAGGGACCCCAGGTGATGGAGTAGGTTGTGCATGTGTTGTGAAAGGTGACATGAGGCAGCGCAGTCATGGGCATGGCTGGGCACAGAGAGAAAAGGTGTGTGTTTCTCGACCTTCTGACTCACAGATGAAAGAAAAGGCAACCCAGGGGCTCTCTGTGATGCTGGGGAGAGGTGAAGCAGTAGGTTTATTGATGATAGTAATTTTTATTTCAGATTGACACCTTGTACTGTTGCTGCCATTCCCTGTCTGTGTGGGTGTTTCACACAGAAGTGAAGCAGAATTTGTTTTTAAAAGTAGAAGAATGTGGGATTTTTAAAAAATATAACTCTCCAAAATCAGCAAAGGGACTCTAAGCTGGTAGAATCCATGAAAAAAACCTCCCACCTTTAATTCAGCTTTTTGAAAACAACTGGCAATACATCCTTTACATCTCTTTCCCGGCTTAGAGTCCTTAGGTCATCTTTCAAAACAAACTTCACTTAGAGATCCCCTTCTCATTTCCCTGCCAAGTGCCCTGTGGTTTGAAGTGGTATCAAAGAGCAGGAGCATACTTAGTGGCAGGCTACTGTTTTTTGGGGGATGGAAGGATGATTGGTAAAACCAGGGATCGTGAAAACTTTTCTCCCTGACTGCGTAATCACAGCCAAAAAGAGGCTTTTTCATCAAGTGCAGAGGGTAACAAGTGCATTCTGGCTTCATTCTTTGTCTCCCTCACACCCAGTATTTTCCCTCTTTTTTGGGGTGCCATGCTTCTGCAGTCTATAGATTTGGTTGGACCTACCCAGTCAGTCACCCACAGTGCTGTGGGAATTAAAAGAAATCAAGTGATAAAGCTTTTCTAAGCAAGTGTCCCGTGGGATGCCTGTCCTGCATCTGAGGAAGTGGCATCACTCTTAAACATAGAACTTCTGTAGGCCTCAATGCAGTTTGCAAATGTGTGGAATGGACCTATTTTACAGATGGTGGAAGCCCGGGCAGAGAGTGGGGACCTGGCAAATAAAGGTAGAACTGGGGAACTGATTCCTCTCAAGAAACTCCACTCTCTTCCCCTGTAGCCAAGTGTCGTGATCCTTGGGCTGAAATGTTCTTTTTTTCCCCCTACTGACACTTAGCATTGTCACAGCCACTCAGTGAAATAATTGACATGCAAGTGCCAGTTGGAGACTCGTTAATCATTCTGAGAATGAAGCAGGTGTAATTGAAATTTCAAGGTAATCTTGAGTTAATCATGGTGAGCAATCTTCTGAATGCTTGGAAAACAGGGACTTTCAGGACACCGGGCTTTGTTTGGTAAAATAATCTGTTCTCATTGACAAATGCAGACTTCCATAGGGCTTTTTATCCCTCCTGTTGGAGGTATAAGGTGTGGATGGCTAACAGGATATCTAATCAACAAGGACTTTAAAATATTCAGTACAGAGAAATGCTTGTGCTGAGAAACCATTCCTCGCATAGCTTTTGCCTGAAAAGGAATTTGATATAATGATAATAAGGGCCTGTTAGTACTAAAATAATGAAAGGGAAGGTCTGAGCTTCATCACATTCACATTCAGCTTCCATTTTCCAATCACTGATCAGGGGAAATTCAACCTCAAAATAGCAGGCCCAGGAATTCCTCTATTGTCATGAAACTGCATGGGAGACTCTGGAGAGGTGATTAGCCTTGAATTGCTACAAGGTTGTACAATCTTGGGAGGGGGCTATAACTTCAGTGGTGGTGGTTGGGACCAGGTTGCTTTGTCATTGGAATCTCATTAAAACAGTTTGCAGCAAATTTTGCAGCCAGAACCTTGCCCTGGTGCTGCTCTGAGTATAAAGGAGGCCCTTTGAGATCAGAGAAGCTACAGGGTATTGCTTGCAAGGGCCAACACTTCTCTGGGCAGGGCTGTTTCGGAGGAGGCTTCCAAAGGCACAGGAAGATGTGCTTGTGAGTTGAGATCAGGTCCCATCTCTCTCATATGTGGTAATCCTCATGGCTGCTCCTTGTGTTCCATGTGCTAAAAACCCAGAAAGGCATTTTCTTTCTCGATTCAGCTTGAGATAAGAATAATGCATTAAATCCTTTTAGCTTCATTGCACATGCCTTTCTCAGCTACTTTTGAAGAGCTAAAGAGGTACTTTAAAGACTTACAGTACCTGGGCTTGCTCCCGTGTCAGCAGGAGCTTTTCCCTGAGGCTTGCTCTTCGTGCCTGCTAAAGCAGAATGTTCTGCTTTCAGAATCCTATCCCAAGAAATCGGGGAGTATAAATGAAGTGAGCGACCCAGAAGATGAACTGACAGACTCACAGAAAACTAGCAAGCTGTCTGAGATATACTCCACTGCAATTCCTAGTGTGGACAATACTGTGGAGTCCTGGGATGGCTCTGCCATTGATGCTGGGTATGGAAGCCAAGGTAAGTCAGAGTCATCTTTTCTGAGGGATCTCTGGGCCAAGGTGAAGACAGACAGAGCCTCCAAACCTGTGTGGTCTGTCTGACTCTTGTCTCCGAACATGAGCCGAAGCCCGTGGCCTGACCACATTTTCGTGGTCTCTCGCTTCCAGCAAGGAACAAAATGTATTTTAAAATGCACTCCTGTGGTGCTCTGAGTTGATGTATCTGGTTTAGGCTTTTATTGGCACATTTCTTCTGGCTTATATGGCATCATACTGTTCTCATAATTCTCAAAACCATTACAGCACATTTTAATTCGCATAATCAGAGGCAATAATCACTGGCGATATGTTTTACAGAGTATCTGGTCCACAGCTCACTTTTAACTCTCCAGAGAGGCCTTGTAGGACATAATAATCCTCTTCAGGATGTTTTAAAATCCACAAGAATGTCTTGTGACTAGAAGCACTCACTTAACAAAATAATTAAGGTAATACTACAAGAAAGTATCTCTAACTCTCTGGTGAGGGATCAGTTGAACACATGGCTTCGAGGCCAGGTTTATTCAGCTGTAGCTTCTGGCAAACATATGGAATTGGCATGGATGATGCTCTAGTCATGGGGATAGATTTTTACTTGGAGAAAAGCACTGGAAAATAAGTTATTCCAGTTCAGATTTAGTGACATAAGCTAGTATTAGCCTGTGTTGAAACGAAGCAACGTTCTGAATCAACACTGCAAGAGGAAATTGGTGGAAAGACTCCTGTCCAGAACAGAATGTGAAAACAGGGAGGGATGCTGCAGGATGCTGCTGCAAAGCACCTTCCCTGTGCTGAGTGAGGGATGCTGCAGGATGCTGCTGCAAAGCACCTTCCCTGTGCTGAGTGAGGTGCGTGCTGTGCTCACTGCACTCTGGCTTGGAGAAGTTCAAAGGACAGCACTGCCTGGGTGTCTCCCCATTCCTGTGTCTTCCTTCAGCCTCCGTTGGTCTGAAGTCTTAATTTGGGAGCACAGTTGGGACTGGAGGCTTCATTAAGAAGGAATCCCCTGGCCTTCATAATGCTGCAATCCTTCTACATCTAATTGAATGTTAACACAAGTTGGACACTGGAAAGTGATTACTTTACTGGTAAATTGAGAACAGGTAATTGAGCACAGAGCCCCAGGGTGTGGGGCTGATGCCAAGTTGCCCAACATCCACAAATTGCAGCTTTGCTTCAGGGGCTCTCTTGTCTTCCCTGGTAATTGCATTTGGCTGCATAGTGGTGTGCTGGTGCTGGCTGGGAAGAGGGATGCTGGAGGGCAGGGAGAAGGGCACGCAGGGTTGTCCACGGAATGGGCAGGGAAGGCACGATGCAGAGAAACCTGGGATGTGCAGAGCCTGGAGATTAGGGTTCACACCCCAAACAGAGAATTGCAGATCAGGCTCTGCATCCCTGTAGGTTTTAAGTTCATCCATAGCATTAGGAAACGGCTCAAGGAAGCATTTGGGTTGGGGAGCTGTGCTGGGCCTGGTGGGAACATGCCACCAGGTGGCTCTGAATCCCAAGGATCCAGCTCTTCTCCCTGAAAGGAGAAGGTGAATCTACAATGGTACTGAGTGACCACTCTGCACCCAACCCCTGCACCCAGCCCAAACCTGCTGCCCACCCACTGCAAGGACCTGCATCCAGGGCCCTTGTACTGCCCTGGCAGGCAGTGAGTACTCCTGACTGTGAGATGTTGGCAAGCAAATTTCCTGGGGCTCTTTCCAGAGCAGTCTAACCTTTAAAAACACACAGAGGAAACACTCAGCTAAGTGAAATAACAGGCCTTGGCATTTTCAAAGAAAGTGTTGGCATTGTCTTTGGGTATTTCCAGTGCTCTTAGCTGTTTAGGAGGTCAAATCTCCCTTAATTATGTGTTTCTCCGTTACTTCTTCCTGTTCACTTGGCACAGCGTGCGATGGGAGCGTGCGGTGTTTCTTGGAAAGGCTGTGATTTCTCTGAAACACTGAATGGGCAGTAGGAGGTGAGCAGGGGACTCGGGAGATTTATTTCCACTGCAAATGGCACTGACACTGTTGAGGAATGGTCTGTTTTGAAAGTTTTCTGTTCAGGAAACTCCTCACGAGACCTGGGGATCTTGTGACTTGGTAGTGATGGATTTGCATCTCTGGAGTAAAACACTGCAGTATGGAAAAGTCCGTGGGGGCAGACATAGCAAAACTACCTGGTTTCATCCTAATGGTCTGTATTGATCTCCTATCAAATGTGACACATGAGCCAGCAGAGATTTTCACCTTATTCCTTGCCTTTCACACACAAAGCAGCTTCCTGTACCTACACCAGCTGATCCCAAAGGCATGGGAGGGCTGAGGGAACTGGCTGGCAGCTCTCAGGATCAGTGCTGACTGTTTCTCATTACCACTGTTGAACACACTGGACCTGTGACCACCACCAGGTACCCTCAGCACCATTACACTTGTTAAGGGAGACTCTTGCTTCTGGCTGCTCTGGATGCAGTTTCTTTGCTGCTGTCCTTTTCTGTTGCCTTTCTCATGCTGTCTATTAAGTCCCAAACACAGTTGAGAATATAAATGAAGACTTTTTTCCCTAATAGAATTCAAGCCTCCAAATCCTTCAAAAAGGATGGGATTGAGTCTGCTGAAGGAGTCTTGGCAGGATCTTCTCTTTACCCTTTGAACTTGTTGTATTTAAAAGTGACTGATTCAACATCATAATTTCTGCTGGGTTCAATGTAGAAAAAAGAGCCATTAGCCAAGGCTGGATCTGGCTAGGGACAGGATCTCCATCTGTGGGTACGTGTACTCCCAGGTCTGTGGATCTCAAACTCACACCATAAAACTACCGAGAAGCAAGGGAGCACAGGAGAAATGGGGCACCCCATGTCAAGATCCTGAGAAGCTGCTTTGGTCAAAGCCAGAAGAGATAGGAAGAAGAACCACTTGAGGATGACTGAGATGAAAGCAGTGTGCAATCCATCTGGCCTCAGGTTTGGGACCCAGGGAGGGAGGCTCTCTGGGATCAGCATGACTTACTCCATTTGGGGTTTCTGACCAGGTATTACCCTTTCTCTTTCTCCACTCCCTCTTGCCTTCCCTAGGTACGTACATACCTCAGGCTGCGGGCATAGCCCTCCATCCACATGAATGGAGACACAGCAGGCAGAAGAGCAGCACCCCTCCAGGGGACCCCAGAAAAAACTACCCCTACATGGATGGAAGCTTCAATGAAGATGACTGGGATAAGCCCAGCAGGTACGGAGGGGTGGGAGGAGGTAGGGAGGTGCATTTGGAAATGCAGGTGTCACTGCACAGGGAAAAGAGGGTGTGGGAATGTGATGGAGCAGCCAGGGATGTCCCAGTCTTGGTATTGGGCAACCATGGGGAGGGATGTTGGGATGGTGAACCTGCTCTTTTGAGCCACCTCCACATAACCTGAGTGTAGCTCTGTGGCACCTCTGCCATGGCCAGGTGTACGTTTGTGTCTGGAGTTAGGGTGGTCTCAGCTGCATGGATCACAGGTTCCTACCATGTCTCTTACTCCTGCCATGTCAAGGCTGCAGTATTTTCATAGTTTAGGTGTAATAAATAGATATGGTCAGGGCTGTCCCTGCATGTGTTGACCACACTTTTTTGAGTGAGGATGTAGCTTTGCAACAGCTCAGTGCTACGAAGCAAAAGAGGCCAACCAAAGTACTCAGAGGATCAGCGTGAGATTGCATGTCCAAGTTAAAATCTACCAAAGCAGTGGCTGGATTCTCTCTCCATCACACTTTGGCCCTTCCAGCACCACAAACAAAGCTACGCTGAATGAACACGGTCAAGTTAATCCCCCAGCTCAGCCAGGTGGCGAAAATCCTTTAACACCTCCTGAGGCCTGTGAGAGGCTGCAGCTGCCCCTTACTTTAGGTGAAAATCCTGATGGATTTGTCTCAGCCAGAGGCTGCCCCTTGCTGAGCCACACTCAGTGGAAAAGCCCCACTGCTTCAAAACTACCCCTCCCCTTGACATCCTCCAGAGTCCCCATAGTTGTGTGTGTTGTGTTGTTACTGTCGGTCCTTTTTTCTTTCTTATTTTTTTCCTTAACTTTTGTTTGTCCAAACAAAACCCTTAGAACATCTCATGGCCATTTCCACCTATTTAAAGATGATCAAACTGGCAGGAAGGCTGGCAGCGGCAGAGACTTTGTTCTTGTTTTGCCTCTCAGCAAGAGCCAGCTCGCAGAGGTCATTGATCCCTCGTGGCCCCCACAGCGAGGCTGCCGACAGCTCAACTTGGCAAATCCAAGCGCTCGAAGCCTCCGTGTCCCTAATGAGGACTCTGAGCCCTGATGTCAAAGTGCAAGTGAAATGGATCATGCCACTGAGCCCTTTTTATTAGGGAGAAAAACAAAATGTCTCTAACCCTGACTGCCTCTAGCCTGGAAAAACCTGCTGACCCAGTGATGTGGGAGCCTGTTCTGATTCATCCGTGTCCTGGATGTGTTTGTATATTGCTGCTCTGAGAGGCAAGAGACTGGTAATTAGAAGGGACGTTTGCCTCTTTGGGAACTGGGAGCAGAGGAAGGAAATGAGTAAGGGGAAAGAATCAAAAATTCCTTTTGGGGGGAAATTTGGGTTTGTTTTTATAAAGTCTTGCTGGGTGTTTATTTGACCTTTCTGCCTGGTGGAAAGGCTACTGTCCTTTAAAAGCTGATGAAAGGTAGGGGGTGAATTTAAAATACAATAAGCCATGTCAGATACTGCTATCTCCAGGAAGGCCACCCACAAGGAGCAAAAGTGTGTGTGAGTGAATTTCTGCTGGCTACAGATTACCATTTAAACCAGTGGATGAAAAGGCAAAGCATGTGCTAAAGACTTTGCAGTTGTTAGAGATCTGGAAAAAGCTCTATTAATAGCCCAAGGGGTCATTATATATTTAATGGAGGCCAACCTCTCTGTGACTTGTACCCAAGTAAAATGTTTTGACTTTGCTAAGTGGCTGTGGTGGATGAGCATCCCTTCCCATCTGCAGAGCTGAATAAGCCATGCAAGATGCTGCCAGATGTTGCAGAGGTAGAGCCTCGTCCATGCAGCTCATTGTAAGATATGTAGAAGATGCATTAGGGCTGCTCTGATGTCACTGTACCCTTGGGGCCTCTCCCCATGACACATTAGTGGGTTTATCATGTCCTAGATTTAACACCACAGTTTCCTTCCAGAGGCTCCTGTTAAGCTGAGCACTGCTGGTCTGAGTTTTGCAGTCTGGTGTTCAGTAAGCAGCGTCCAGCATCATCTACCTTTCTAGCTTGTTCAGAGGACTTCAGCATGTTTAATTGCTGTTTGATTTAGAGGTCTGGGAATTGACCCTGGCTTGTGGTCAGAGATAAGAGATGCTGAAACTGCCAAAGGGGGAAATTGCAGAACACCCAGCACACGGTGTTCACTTTAATATGTGTTTGTACCAGCCTGAGAGAGGTTCTCTCTAATCTTACTCTCTGTTGTAGACAGAACTGGTGGCAAACTTTACAAAGCTTTAAGTGCCAAGACTGCTATACAGCAAAAAAAAAAAAAAAAAAAGACCTCCTGAAAGTAACAGCTCAGTTCGCTGGCCATCCCAAAGCAAATGAAACTGGGTTTGTATGGGTTATACGTGACACTGTTGATACTGCTGGCTGTAGTGTGCGTTTGCTTGTTCAGCCCAGGGCAGTCATTTTTATATACATCTTTGCATTATTTACTCTCATAGAGACCTAATGTATTTATCATTTTCTCACCATGTCTGTTACCCTCTGTGTTTTTCTCTCTCTTCTCAGGTGTTCTGTGTCTCAGATCTGAGCTCTATCCCATCAGCCTTTGTACTAACAGTCTCTGAGGCTCCTGGTTTACCCATAATGCATCCTTTTTTCTTTCACTTCTCTATTTCACCAAAACGTCTTCCTAAACCTACAATCTTCCTACAGGCACTTTTTAATTTACCCTTTGAACTCTGACATTACTACACCAACTTAATTCTTCCTTTGAAGGACACTTGCCCCGTTAGTAAATGCATGGAGGTCTCGTATGCGGACTCTTGTTTGAAAAGTTCATATTGTTTGCTTTTGTATATGAAGACTCTTCAAGTCTGCTTTTACTGGTGAGACACTTGCTGTAGCCTTGCGGCTTTCATCCCGCTGCAGAAGAGTGCTGACAATGTTTGGTTCCTACGTTACAACAGATACCCCAACCGCCAAAATGGCCTTGAGACCACTCACGAGGATAATTTTTGGCGTGTTTTTGGAGAAGCTTTGGAGGATTTGGAAACATGCGGCCAGTCTGAACTTTTGAGGGAGATTGAGGTAAATCACTTTCTGAATTTACTGCTGATCTGTGTTGCTCTTTCCATAAATGTTAGACTACTTCCCCAGATCTGTTAAATGCCTGTAGCATCCCTGTGCTGCCAGTGGTGTGAAGAAGGGTTTGGGTTTAATTCATGCCAGTGTTTGTGCTAATGGATAGCTGTGTCTCATTAGACAGTTGCTTGCGTGTGCTCTCTCCCTGAGCCGATGTCTTACCCGCCAGGAATTCCGCGTTCTTTTCACGAACTGTTGCTGGCCAGTAATCTTCACATGACTGTTGGCAAGTCTTCCCTATCCAACAGTAAACCCTCTGCTTGGAAGGATACTCTATGTCCAAAGCACTTGAAGGCCAAGCAAAAGGAGCCCCCAAGCCCCCGCTGGGACTGAAGCCTTGGCTTGCTTGAAGTGTAGACAGGCACAACATACATCTTGCATTCAGCTGTCACTCTGCCGGAAACTGTTTCAGTGAAATAGGTAATTGGAAGCTTTTCAGCCAGCCTTCCCCATGGAAAAATCTGAGAAAGTAATTGCTTCCTGCAGAAATAAAGGTGTTTCCTCTCTTCACAAACCACTTTCTCTTTTCTTTATCCAAAATGCTTTGGAGGTCATGTTATTGTGTCCGGTTATAGGATGAGGAGCCTGGATTTCTAAGTCATGGGATGCAAATAAAGGCCTCCCTTGAGACTGTGAGACCTACCCAGCAGGATGGGGCCCATGTTCCTCCCCTCCTTAGGAGGAACAGGACCCTACGAGCCCATTCTTCCCCCTGCCTTCTGGGTGCAGATGACTTAGGAGGGCTCCCTGGGTCATGCCCTCCATCATTCCCAGTGGGACTGGGTTTATGCACAGTTGCATATTGCTGAGGCTTCAGTGAAAAAAAGCAACTTCTGACTAATTGAAGGTCGAAAAGGAAAGTCTTGTTTTGGCCTGTATGGTGACAAGGGACTTACTAATTGTCCTTTCCTCCTTGATCCTTAGCAACTGTAAGTGGAGGAGGAAATCTCAATTAAATTTATTGTGCTGAAGCATGAAATGCTGTTTTTATTATCTTAGCCACTTAAGAAAATGCTGACTTAAAGAGAAAACAAAACACATAGAATCCCAAATCCCCAGCCTCCCCAAACTATAACTTGTTCCCTTGATCACTTATTTCCTGGACATGAATGTATTTAGAAATGAGTTTAGGCAGCCACTAACAACCTTTCTGAACAGCTGTTGACTGCTTAAGAGAAAGTACCCCTTTCTGTGATGCATAGATGTTTCTCTTCTGCACAATGGTTGGTACCTAAATGAAAAACAAGGGATTTCTTGGACTCCCTTTTCCAGGCATCTGAGGTGCAGTTGCTGTTTTAAGGTTTTAGAGGTCTGACAGTTATAGCGATGCTTTTAAACATGAAAAGTAATTTTACTGAAAGCTGAGCACCTCCACAGTTTTGGTGTATTTAGCACATTTCTAGAATATTTTGAAAGTTCTGGTGACAGAAGAGAAATGCTGTGCTTTTAGCAGGAGTCTGATGGGTTCAACTCCCCTTTTATCAAATCCAAATTGCCACTGATCCATTCCTCCCTTGCCATGTGCCCAGCCTTCCTGAGGCACGCTGTGGGATGTGCAGTGCTCACTGGGGCTTTTGCTGTATTGCAGGTTTCTCAGCCCCAGCTCTCAGCCCCCTGTGATTTTATGGCAGTCACAGATTTTATTTTATTTTGACTCTTCATGCTTCACATTTGAAAAGAAAAAAAGAGCCCTGCAAGGTGACCCAGGGTAGCCTGGAAACAGGTTCACGCACAGTAGCAATCCACTTCCAGAGTATGGGCATGGGTAGAAACAGGCTTTTTCCAGTATGTCTAGTGGAGCGTGTGTCCCTGCTTTGCTTTGAGGGCAGCCAAGACATGGGAAAAATAACATGGGGCTGGAGAAGTCTGAAATTGCCCTTTCTGCTGCTTGCATTAAACCCAAAGCACCTGGGAAATTGCTTATGATGCTGCAAAAAGGATTTAAGTACCTTGAAGATTGAGAAGGAGTCAAACGCTGTTGTTGGTTGGTTACGGTATTTGCAGCGATGAGGGAGGGCAGCAGCACAGCGTGCACAGACCTTTCTGCTCTCTCTGCCTCTGCAGTGGTGGTGCTGGTACAGCACAGCACAACACCCTGGGGGTGTTGAGGCTGCCTGAGGTCAGTGAACAAATGTACCCTGGTTGGCTATACTACTGTTTGTTAGTCTATGTTTCAAGTATGTGGTAAGTCAGTGTCCTTCCAGCACGTAGCAGGTATTTGAGTTTTGCCCAAACCTGAAAAGTGCAAAGCTGAAAGATTTTCTGTATTTTATCCATCCCAGTTTGGGATAATGTGGGTAGTGCTGGCATTTTCCTACTGCCACCATAATTCACTTTATTTGACTTTACTCCAGCTTGAAGCAAAGAGCTGGAGGGTCTTGATTAGAGACTTAGTTGTGTGATATTTCCCCTGTGCACATGAGCAATTGCTCTTTGACTTGCCACATTTAGCGTTGGAGAATTTTGCTATCTGCTCCCTACCTTTCCTTTCCTTTTTTCTACGTTTTGACATTTAATGAGACTGCAGACCCTTGAAGACTGAACTTTGAAATCACAGTTTTCATTTCGCTGTTTAAATGGGCTCTGTGACCTGGAGCCAGCTGAGGTTCCACAGACTGGATTCTTGACTCCTTCGTTAGCTTTGATCAATGTAATCTCATTACTGAAAAGCATTGCCAAATGGAATCGAATCTACTTAGGGGCATCTTTTAATGGATTCTATCAAGGATGACCAAGCTTAAATACTACTTAATTTCATATTTTTAACTCAGTTTTGCTCAGTGACAGCTCCCATTTACTGACAGATAAAATCCTCATTTCTCTGCTGAATTGGCCTCAGTGGAGTCCAAGGTATTGACTTCCCTGGGCCGTTGGCAGCACTGTGTGATACTGGTGGGGACCTACAGCCTGCAGGGGTAGGCTGGAGAGCCAGGCAGACTGTGGTTCCTCTGGGAGCCCCCTGAGATTGGGATATTCATCCTTCTTGACTGTCAAGATGATTCCTGCACAATATGAGGCCTGTCTGGTGCTGTTTGTGTAGAAGGGTTCATTGAAAAATACCGAGATGCTTCACAAGTGCTTCCTTCTGAGACAAAGCTCCTGTTGGGGTGGGGTTGGAGAGCACAGAGTGGGTCAGCCATAGACCTGGAAGCAGGCTCCCGAGGTCTGGGAATGGGTCTTACAGCTAATAGGAAGAGATTTTTGGTAGTTATTTTCTGATTGATGAGGACAATGGTACCGCCCTGTTGTTGTCTGTGCCGCTTTAGTTGCCGTGTTGTCCATCTCTTCCTGCTACTGGCTCAGCAGAGTGACATGATGCCCTCTCCCTACAGGCATCCATCATGACAGGGAGTGTGCACAACCTGGGCTTGGAGGGCAGCAAGCTGCTCCTGGACTCTGTCAACCCATCGGGAATGAGCCCATTGAGGAAAGCGAACTCCAGCTGTGGTGACCGACAGACTGAGGGCAGTAGCTCCCCTGCCAAGAAGAACGAGAGGAACCTGGACATGAAGAAGATCGAGAAGGAGATGCAGGAAATCATGTCCCCAACTCCCCTTGAGTTTCACAAGGTTTGTATTGCCAAGGGGCAGTCTAGCTCTAGCACTGCAGATGGTTAAAACTGTAGAAGCTTTACAACCCTGTAAAAAATCTTCCTTGTTCAGGAGGATCCCCAGAAAATGTTCCTCATTAAAGCTGGACCTCACCAAGGTCAGAGCAAAGGTTTCCAGAGGGTCAGATTAAGACGAGGGGCCCTCTTCAGAAAAGTAACTGGATTTAGCTGCCATGATTCAACAGGGTTCAAACCTGTGCTTTGCTGTTTTTCTTAATGTATAAGATTTCCAGATCCTTGTGTTGTGGAATTCGTTAATTGGTACTACAGATAAAAACGAAAGAGCCCAAAGTATGTCCCTGTGGAGACCCATCAGCCCTTTTCCTGTGGCACACTCCATTCAGTAGGCCACTTCCCTTATAAAAAATAACTTATTTGCCCTCCCCTTCCCTCCCACCCCCAGCCTTTCCTGTAGAGGTGACAATGGTAGGACTTTAATGGTAGGATACCGGTTTGAATTCAGCATCGAGATGAATGTAGCCAGCTCAAGCATGGCATAAGGCAGCAGGAATTAGAAAAGGTAATTAACTGTTGAAGCAGAATGCAAGCAGGGAAGGGAGCTGGAGAGGTTTCAAGAATTTGTCTTTTTCTTTCCTAGTGTGACTTTAGAATAAAACTTGCAGTTATGGTAGGTGGAAAAAACAACCTTTTCATGTTTGATCTGCTTTTGCCCTTCAGGGCATGGCAAATGTATATTTAAATAAAACTCCTTCATACCTGAAGGAGGAGAGCTGTGTAACTAGGCATGTTATGGGGTGACTCTTCATTCTGCTGGAGCAACTGGTGTTGACTGTTTGGAAATGAGGTTGAGGCCAGGTGGGCTGCTCCTGTGTGTCATCCTGAGCATTGTCCTTCCCAAGAACTGCACATCCATGAGGCTTACCCAGCCAAGAGCACAGTTATGGAGTTAGAGCCACAGTAGAGATGCACTCCCAGTTCATGAGAGGCAAAGGGAGATTTTGGTGGTGTTGGGGAATCAGTTCCAGCAGTGCTCTCCTCCTTTAGATGAGACCAAAGTGTGAGGTTATGCCTTTCTTGTCCTCAGTACATCAGCACTTATTGATATGAGTTTTCTGAAAAGAACTTGTGAATAATATGCAGAATTTTAGATGCTCCTGCTGAGTAACGTATTATAAAAATGAGCTGTTTTCACATTTCACTTGCTACATTGAAATTTCCCCGAGAACATGTTAATTTTTCATGTGGTGGCCTGGCACATATAGAGGGTACATGGCGTAACCTGGCCAGGAAAGGAGATGCTCCATTAATAACACTTGTTTGTTGCTCTTTGGGTGAAACAAGAGCTGTCTTTATTACCCTGCTTATGTTTCCTTCCACATCTAAGGGTGAGGGACTGTCCTGGGGTTGGTTTTATGCCAGCCACCGAAGCAATTCTCCACGTGATCTACCTGAGGTAATGGTGTCAGGTAAATAAGGCTCAATATGTGTTAATTGCACAGGCTAAGAAAAATCTGCCCAGGAGACACAGAGCAGAATTTCTGTAGGTCTGCACACATTACCCATGCTACTGCCAACCTGCCAACCCTGTACATCACCTCCTTACTCTGCTGCATTAACACATGCTTTGTCTGTTTCTGCCTCTCCAGATGACACTCCACAAAGATCCGGAGAGGGAAGATTTCGGATTCAGTTTGTCAGATGGCCTGCTAGAGAAAGGTGTCTATGTAAATATGGTCCGTCCGGATGGGCCAGCAGATCAGTGTGGCCTCAAGCCATATGACAGAGTGCTTCAGGTAATAAATGAAAAATGCAGTTCTGGAGGCTGGGACGGAGTGAATGAGTGGCTGAGAGGAAGAGAGAAGTGAGACCCATCCATGACAGCACTAACTTTAATGAAAGGTAATAGTTAGCCAACTAGGTGAGCTCTTAGCCACCAAGCACTCAGTGGGACCTGTGGTTTATAATAAGAAATCACTAGGTAGTACCTTCAGGTGGTACCCCAGGTGGTACCCCTATTCCAGGACACAGTCTGTCCCAGCACTGCCCTTTTTGAATTTGGACAGCTCAAAACAAGCAAAAAACTGTGTTGCTTCCTCTCCTCACCCTGAATCCTTTTCCTGGTTTTCGGATGAACCAGATCGTATTGACTGATACGTGTTCCTGTGAAGCCCCTTGCAGAGTTAAGTAATATTCATGAAGTTCTGTGCATGCCTTTGACAACTAAAAGAGTTTTCTAGGAAACACATCCTTCAAGCAAAGTGGTTTTTTATGGATATTTTTCTTTGAAAGAGACTTGATCTGGAATAGGTGATACAGAAACAGAATAAACACTCTGGCCAAAAGCACAGTCTGTAATGTGTGTCCTGGGCAAATTGGACTACCAGAGGAACAGAAAGAGCCTGGTGAGATTGCAGAGGAGCTTTTTATGGACGAAAACCAACTATTTTAGCTTTGGGGCAACTCAGACAGCAACTGAAGGAAGTGCAACCTCAATGGAAAAATTGCCACCATTTGGAAATGTAGATATTGTGACCATATTTGGAAACACTCAGAAAGATGTTTAGTTTTACTGATTTCTAGGCGGGGGTTCTTAGCAGTCGGATTAGAGCCAATATATTATGTACATCAGGTAACTGGAGGACTGGCAGCACTGTGGGGAACCTTGTTTAAGCTTGTTATGGTCTCTAGCCAGTTGGCTGCTATACAATTACTCCTTCTCAGCTTCAAATAAAAGATGGTGCAAGAATGAACAAGAAGCTAATTAGGCTCTGGGCTGCCTTTCTGTTCCATGTTGGATGTGATGCTTTTTCGCGAGTGCCAAGTGCTCTGGGAGGTGTGCCCAAAATCCTAAACAGAGCGGCATGGAAACTTTCGACACCCTCCTTGCACATGCTGGGCCGCACAGCTCACACCTACGAGCAGATGAGGTGATTGCCATGGCGCTGACATGTGGAGCTGTGAGTGAGGGATTGCAGACCCGGTACGGGCGACTCCCCTCCAGAAGTACAGAGGTGCATTGCTGAGGATGCTTCACAGTGCTGCGGATCGTGGTCATGGTGATGTGCCTGAAGGCCAGTGGAACACCTTATCCCTGCTGTCACAGACCCTCTGCCGCTCAGCTGGATGGATTAACCGGAGCATGGCATTGTAGGAATGGCACTTCTGCACTGGGACTGCCTGGCTGGCATAGAGCAAGGGCAGAACAAGCTCCTTGTTTATCTCTCCTTGCCCATGAGTTGGCTAGAAATTGTCCCTTGTTACTACACTGTAAGGAGCAGTGTTGGGGTCAGCTGTGTGGACACAGGGAGACACCACTACCATCAGAGAGCCCAGCTACGTGGGCATGCATTAATTCTGGGAAAGAGTTTGGGATGGAAGCATTGTAGGGACTCATCCAGCCTTTACCCGGGTGGTTTTTGCAGATGACCCAGCCCAGAAATACACTTGAAGGTCTGCAAGAGCCAGCAGTACCTGCTTTCACTGTTGAATCCTACAGAGAGAATTTGCAGCTGCCTCCTAAGCCCACATGAAATGCATCCAGGCTCCTGTGAAATGAAGAATGTAAATGGCAAGAGGAAAAGCAGAAACTGTTCAGTATAGTCTCAGTTTACTGCTGGTTAAGCTGGCAAATGGTTTCCAGAAGCCTCATGGCTTTATTTGTTTTCTAGGTGCTGAATACTCAGCACCACAAATTTAGGGCCAGTAAAAGCCATGATGGCAAAAAAATCACGTAAAACAGCAACCTTTTCTCTACAGGCTTGAACTGGAGAACTGTTTTTGAGCCCTGTAGTGTTTAATACTTGTACTTGTACCCCCAGGCACTGGGGGTCAGGGTTCATGCCTGATCCAGACTTTTTTTTCCCCCTTCCTCTGCCAGTTACTACATCATTCCTCAGCTAAGCAAGGATGCTCAGTCTAAAGGGGTGTCTCTGCTCTGCTCCATTCTGAACCTGGAATCAGGGATCCCCAAATACTGTGTGTTTTGCCAGGTGTGGGTTTAGCACTAATCTTTAAATTTTCTGACTAACAAACTTAATCTTTCTGTTATTCCTCCCCATGGCACATCCTAAATCCATCCCCACAGGTAAATCGCATCCGAACAAGAGACTTTGACTGCTGTCTGGCCGTTCCCTTGATTTCGGAGGCTGGAGATAAGCTGGACCTGGTGATTAGCCGAAACCCCTTGGCAATGGCTGCCAACGCTCCCTCGGAGGGGAACAGAGAGTTGCCGGTGCACATGTCCCACGGAGCCGAGGTCAAGGCGAGTGTCCAGACATTCTGAGTGGTGGGAGCAGAGCAGATGATGCCCAGGGCCTCTGCTGAGCTGTTGTGGTATTTGGGGTGTTTCTCCTGTTTTTTGCACTGGTATTTGTAAATGCTGTGTGTACCATAACCTGCAAGTGGGGAGGTGGGTCTTCAGTGAGCCTGTAGACTGCCAAACATTGCTGGGAAGGGCAGATCTGGATGCGCATCTGGGGGCTGTGGCAGCGATGGCGATGGGATGAGCTGCCGACGGGAGGAAGGAGCATCCACAGCCATCTCCCATGGCAGAACGTCCCCCTGTGCCCCAGCCACTGAGTGTGCAGGGTCCTGCCTCCAACATCCTCCTTGCCCTGAAGGCCTTGGCCATCCTATAAACACACATGGTGCTATTATGTTCCTTGTTTGCTCAGTTAATTGCATACAGCAGGACTGAAATGCCTTTCCTTTTATGTTGTGCCCATGTCCATCCTTCCAACACTCCTGACAAATCAATTCCTGCAGCCCCTTGCACTCCCGGTGCAGGGCAGTGGAGAGCGCTGGTTAAAAAGACATTTAAAAAAGAGCTTGAGAGTGTCTAGATTCAATTCTTGTTCAAAAACTGGTATTTGCAGCTGCCTCCTGACAGACCCATCCACACTGCCCCCCAGGCCTGGCTCGCCCCATGGTGGGATGAGGCACCTTGTCTTGGCATGGATTCCCATGAACAATGTGTTTACCTGTGCTGCAGTACTTAATACAGAGTAGAGGCTGTACCCAAGGTAAAGGCCTTGAGTACCTGCTCAAATCCCCAGCCACCTTGTTTGTCTGAGCTTTATGGAGATCTCTTGCTTGCAAACCTGGCCTGTGCCCGCAAGTAAATAGCAGAATAGTGAAATTCCCAGAGCTGCCCCCGATGTTTTGAATTAATGAAACCTTGTTGTCTCCCATCAGGCAGTGGCATGACAAGCCCCTCGTTAGGTGGAGGTTGTGTCCCTGTGTCCCATGTGGGCTGGGCAGTGTGTGTTTGCCTGTTGCTGGCCTCATGTGGCTTTGCAAGCATGATGCTCCCCTCCCTCCCCAGAGCCCCCGGCCCCGTGTGGAAGAGGGGCTGTGATGTTTGCATCGGTGCCCTCCTCTGCCTGCCACGTTCCACCCGTTAGCACTTTATGGTGATGTTCGTGTCCCGGTGGTGGCGTGAGCCTGGCATTGCTTTCCCTGGGAAGGCTCAGGCACAGCGGAGTGGAGGAGCCTGTCAGTCGGACAACGCAGCCCCGAGCCCACTGTGCCCATTCCCTGCTCAGCCTTTTGGCTTCTCCATCGCCACCTCAAGGGGTGCCCACAGGTGGGTGTACAGCACAGGTGTGTTGCTTTGCTGAGCCAGGACTTGTCCCCCCACTGTCCGTCCCTGACATCCCTCTGTGACAGCACAACATGTCAGGGTGTTTCTTCCAGACACGTGCCCGGCCCCATCCAGCTATTTGTCGTCGTAGCCATTTTCTCTTTGAGTATGCAATATCCCATACCATTGCTGCCACACCTAGATAATGTGCCATAATTGATACTGTGGAGCATTGATAGTGCAGCCGAAAGTGTTTTTATATGCAATATTCTGAGCAGTGGAAGCTCACTGGGGCTTCTCATAGGTTTTTAATGAAGACTTTTATTAAAGGCTTTAAAAAAAAAAAAAAAGGAGGAAGAAGAAACTTGGTCCTTGTATCCCTTCCTATGCATTTTGAATGATATGAAGATGAAATGCATTACTTAAATGTGTATTTTTATCCATATATTAGAGTGTATTCCTTGTAAAGTATTTTTATATGCTAATTTTCTTATGTATCTATGAAAGCACAATATTTAAAAGTACAGCATTTCAAAGAATATTTTAGTCCTGTTTTGGACCTATTTGTAAATCTCTGTATTTAAATGGGATTGCAATGACTTGGACTTTTTTTTTTTTTAATTAAATAAAAGCAAATGAAATGCATTTGTTTTGGTTTATGTCTCTCTCTCTGCTGCAGGACAATAGTGAGGCAACGCTCTGGTTCCAGCAGCGTTTTAACTTGCCAAAGGACCCCCATTTATGAGACACCTTGAAGGACAAGGGGGAGGAGGACACGCAGAGGGTTCTTCTGGGAAGCCACTGTTTGTAGGGCTACCAGTGTAGGGATGGGGTTGTCCCTTGTCACCACACAGCAGTGGGACTTGGGTCGCTTCCTTCCCTGTGGACATGGAGGCAATTTTGCTGTAGCTGGTAGCAGTAAGAGCTGGAGATGCTCAGTGCACGTGGTTACAGCACTGCTTGCAACTTTCCCACACTGGAAATATTGTTGGATTGAAGCTGGACTACTTCATGACAAAACACTGATGCAGCAAAGCACATGGTTGCCGTGACGTGGCAACATTTGCAAGGCTGTGGTTAATCTCTGGAGATAGGTTAGAAAACTGCTGGAGGACAGTGTGCTGGCAGGAGATGTCCCATGTGATGCTCAGCACCCTGCAGCTCCAGTGGGGTGCCTTGGGGAGCTCTACTGTGGTAGCCAAATTATCCCACCCCTGAAACTAGACATCCAAAGAGATGATTAGAGCACAGTGCTAATAATGCCAAAGTTGTGGCTTTGATCCTTGTATGGGCCATTCACTTAAGAGTTGGGCTCGATGTGTGATCCTTGTGGGTCCCTTCCAACTCACAATATTCTGTGACTGCCATGAATCCAGAACATAGTTCCTTGTGTCCTCATGTTTAGGATTTCTTCCCTATGCTATTGCAAAGTGGTTTGGGGTGACCCATGCTCCCAGTGTGGGCAGTATAGGCTGCACTACTCCCTGGATACTCCCCACAGGGAATCTCTGCTCACTGGCAAGGAAAGGGTGAGCTGGGTTTTGCAACCCTTCATGCCCAAGTGGGTAATGCAGGAATTTTCGGAGACCGAGCAAAAATGCTCCTGGTTAGACCTGGGGAATCATTGCCACGTAAACAAGCCTTATCTGCCAGATTATCTGCCATCTCTGGCTGCCCTCCTGGGGCAAAGACTTCAGAACAAGGCCCTTCGCACATTTGGCACCAGGGCCTGGCCAAAGCTGCGCAGGAGCCAACCAAGGCACTGGAGCGATGTCAGGTTGAACCAGTGCCCGTGCAACGTGACCCACAGGGTTTTGGTGTGTACCAGGTAAAAGGTTAACATGGTGCTGCTCCCCTGGTATGTGCCTTGGTGGGCAACATCTCCTCCTGCTTATGTCACCTTTCATCCCGTGGACCTCAGCTGATGGAAGCAGCTGCAGCCTTGGGCAGGTGATGGCTGCCCATGGCAGGTAGTTGAAACCCTTCAGCAGCACCCCGTGGCACTCAGTGGCTTTTTTTAGTTCCTTGTTTATTTATTTTATTTTAACCTGAGGCACACTACAGCTGCTGTCTGTGCTGCTATCAGGCTACTCAGCCCAGGCATTGCAGGTTGTGCTGATGAGAGGAGAAATACCTGACAAAGTCCTCAATCACACCCAGCAAAATAACCAATCAAGCCAAAAACCACCAAATAAAGACAGGTGTGGGGCGGATCTTGGGCATGGGGTGCTGGAGGCTCAGCAGTGATACTCAAATTCTTTGCTTTTCACAAACAGTAGCCACCTACATGTTGGGGTTTTTTTCTTCCCCTACCTCAAATCAGGACTTAAGGAATGGACTTGCTGGTTTAACCTCCATCTCTTTGACTGAAGAGGTCATCAGGAAGCTTGAAATAACCAGTCCCATACACTGGGAAAATAAATGTTGGGTTAGTTTTTTTTTTTCCTTTCTATTGTGCTTTCCTGATGTATTTGAACCCTCGTGGTAGTGGTGTCATGCATGGGCTGGGTGCTGGGCACTGGCTGGTTAGAGGTGAGAGGTGGCTTTTGCTTCACTTGTTTTTCTTGGGTTTGGTTTTTTACCTCTTTGATGTGCTTTGTTGTGGGTTCTTTTATCCCCCCCTTTTTTAATTATTAACCTGTCTGTATCCCAACCCAGGAATTTTTGCACTTTTAGCCTTCTGATTCTCTCCCCATCTCACTGGCTGAGGGGGTGAGTGGCTGCTTGGGGGTGAGCTGTCAAAAACAAACCAACAACCCCAAAATAAGTAGTAGGTTTAAAAGAAGAAATGAACTGCTCAAACAATAAAAAAAACCATCCAA